GTTACGGGAAAGGGGCACACACCCTCTCATTTTAATGCGGAAAGAATAAAGAAGACAAGAACATGATATAGCTCGCAAGCCTTCGGCATGGCCCCACCCCACCCCACCCCAATCGTTACAATTACCCCCCCCCCCCTCTCTCTCCTTGCTGACTGGACCCATGCTGTGCCTGCAAGGTATGTTGCTTAATTAAGCATTATCTTGTACCACGCACAGAAAGAAACAAATATTGATGTCATCCCTGGTAGTGTAATCACAATCATGACGATGGTATTTACCAATGTCTAAAAATGGGTTATTTTATTTTTATTTTCCCCTTTTATCCGAAAATGCCCTTTGTTGTTGGTGCCCCTCCCCTATTTTGAAAGACACTCCGCCGCCCCTGCATTATGCTACTTGGTGGTGATGTGCATTTTGTTCTGACCCCCCCCCCCCCCCCCCCCCAAGGTTATTGCTAATTGCGCTCTGCGCCGAGTTGTAATATTTCGATTTGCTGAAAAATTGGATTCACTATAATCAGGAGATATATGTCATACTTGATTCTCTCTATTTCAAGTGAGAACGTGTGAACTGAAGGTGTTTTTTCCTTATCGTTAATATAAGGTGGACTGAACATTTTGTAGACATTTAGCTAATGATGAATAGAATGTTATCAAACTGTAAGGTAAATGGAATGTTAATTCTCGGCCCACTTTTGTTCATTAGTAATATTAACGAAATTGAGAAGTCATCTGCTTCAATTTATACTTCTTGCTGACGACTCGAATATTTTGTGTTGTCACATCGCGATCGAACTTAAAAGTGTTACAAATTGGATAAAAGCAAACAAACTATCACTTAACTTAGACAAACCTAGTTACATGCTATTTAGTTAAAAGTTTGCAAATTTGCCAAATTGTATAACTTTTGATGGTACTGTCATTCAAAGGGTCCGATCAACTAAATTTGTGGGGCTATATAATAGTCTATAATAGTCATTGATCTTGGAAAGCGCACATTAATAATCTGCAAAATCATTACTCGCAACACTGGTATCCCGCCGTTAGCAAAGGCTTCCTACCCCTTTATATTATGTTATCCTTGTATTCCACGCTTATTCTTCCTTACTTTAATTACGGACTTATCGCCTGGGGTAGTGTGCAGCAACTTCCCAAATTAATAGACTCTTTATATTACAAAAAAGAGCGATTCGTATTATTAATAAATGCAGATTACCGGGCACACACGAATAATCTTTTTCTGAATAAAAACATTTTGAAAATTAAAGCAAGCTCAACACTAAACAATTAGCTTTTGCCTATTATGTTCGTACCAAATAATTTGATTTATAGTTACTTCACTTGCCCAGGCACGTAGCCAGGGTTTGATGTTTGGGGGGGGGGGGGGGGGGGGCACATACATGTAATCGATCGAGGTAAAAAAAAAGGGGTCTAAAAAAGTTCAACCGATCCTGGAAATTGTTTTTGGGGGCACGTGCCCCCCCCCCCCCCCCCCCCCCCACGTGGCTACGTGCCTGCACTTGCCTGGCGAGCTTTTACCATCTACCGTTAAATAGAACATCGTTTGCACAAACATACATTTGTTTTTACAGGTCCAAAACTAGAATTTTTGTTCAAACGATATTTTACTGTGTTAGTCAATACAAATTTTCAAAAGGAGACTTAAAAGCTTTCTTCTGAATAGTGACTAGGCTATATTGCATTCCCCAATCAAATATAATTTTTAGTGTGACTTAATGCAACTTTGATGTTTGTAACTTAGATTGTTTTTTATGTATGTATTTATCACATTTACTTGTTTTACGTTTAAACTTGATTTTTGTATTACTGAATTAGTTATTTTTATCGTTTTTTTTTTCTTCTCATAAAATAATAACTACTTTTACAGGGGGCCTACATATCCTACAAACTCTCCTTTAACTCCTTCCCTGTCAATTTCATGTATTTTTAATGTATTGTATTGTGCAAATTGATCTACTATGTATAAAAATATGTGATTATGCAGTGGCGTACCTGAGGTACTCCGTCAGGAGGGACAAGCGATCGAGAAGAAAAAAAAAAAAACCGATGATAATTTTCACTTCTGGTGAGCGAGCGGGCAAAGAAATATCTTTAAGTAACGTTTGGTATATAAACCGGTATTGTTGCAAGTCGGGGGTGGGCACATTCATTAATTTTTGGTAGCGACGTTAATTTTATTTTTGCAAGCGAGCGTAGCGAGCAAGAAAAAATCCCTTCCTTTTTTAAATAATTGCCACTTAAACTTGCCTGGTTCAATAATGTCCCATGCCGGGTGTGAGAACAATATTGTGTTTAGGGTGATTTTATACCCATTTTAGCTAGCGAGCGAAAATACAATTTCTCTAAATGAATTGCTATCAAATTTGTTTCATTGTTCGAGGTCGGGGGCGGGCACAATCGTGTTTCAGGCAATGTCAATCTCATTTTGGCGGGCAGGCAACCCCCCCCCCCATACATTTATCTGTTTAATGATATTGTAGCAGGTCAGTGGTGGGCACATAATTCCACGAGCTAGCGAGCGTAGTGAGCGAGCGAACATGGTACATGAACTTGGTTTCATTGTTCCATGTCAGGGACGTGATTATTAAAGGCGATGTTATTTCTATTTTGGCGAGCGAGCGTAGCGAGCGAGCAAAATTTGTGTAATGACAATTGGTTCATAAATTTCAGGGGTTTTTTTTGCTGCAGGTCAGGGCTTACACAATCATGTCTAAGGTGATGTTAATTCCGTTTTTGCGAGAGCACACACCAAAACTTCTTTGAATAACGTTTGGTACATAATTATTAACTGGTTGTTGTAGGTTGGGGCGGTGTTAATTTCATTTTGGTGAGCGAGCGTAGCGGGCAAGAAAAAAAAAAACCGCTTCTTTTTTTAATAATTGCCAATTAAACTTGGTTCAATTGTCCTCAATGAATTGGTACATAAACTTTGTTTCATTGTTGCAGGTCGGGAGTGGGTACAATCGTGTTGTCAATCCCATTTTGGCGGGCAGGCAACCCCCCCCCCCCCCCACATTTCTCTTTTTAATGATATTGTAGCAGGTCAGTGGCGGGCACATTTGTTAGTAATGTAAGCATAATTCCACTTCGGCGAGCGAGCGAAAAACAAATCACTTCACTAAAATCACTTCTCTTTTAGTGAGAACATGGTACATAAATTTGGTCGGGGCAGGCACAAGCGTGATTTATAGTAAAAGCGATGTTACTTCTATTTCGGCGAGCGAGCGTAGGTCGGGGCTTACACAATCATGTTTAAGGTGATGTTAATTCCATTTTGGCGAGGGAGCGTAGCTAGAGAGCAAACCAAATTTTCTTTGAATAACGTTTGGTACATAATTATTAACTGGTAATTTGTTGTAGGTTGGGGCGAGCATGTTTGTCAGCGATGTTAATTGTAAAGACAGCGTAGCAAGAGAGGGTAAACAAAAAATCACCTCATATATCAATCACTAAAATCAATCAATAATCAATTCTGGCGAGCAATTTAGGAAAGATAGTCTTAAAATAACGTTTGGTACAAATTTACTGGGATTATTGTTGCAGGCAAGGGGGCGCACATATTTTGTTAGAAATGTCAATTCCATTTTGGCGAGCGAGCATATAGCGAGCAAGCAAAAAAAAAATCAATTCTCTTTTAATAGAAATTAATACATAAACTTGTTTTTATTGGTGCAGGTCGGGATGGGCGCAATCGCGTTTAACGCGATATCAATTCCTTTTTGGCGAGAGGGCGAAAAAACACTTCCATTTTTAATGATATTGTTACAGGTCAAGGGTCACGGCACAATTTTCTTTTCAAGGCAACTTCTATTCCATTTATTCGCGAGCGAGCGTAGCGAGAGAAAAAATGAATTAGTCTCTTTTAGTAACATTTGGTACATAAATTGGGTGTTATTGTTGCCATGGTTGCAGGTCGGGGCCAGTCGGGGCAGGCACAATTGTATTCTAGGCAATGCTAATCCTTTTTTTTTCAGGGGGACGAGCAAGTGAAAACAATTAATACAAAATAGGCTAGCAAGCAGCTCGCGCCAGCGAAGAGTGTCGAATTTGTTATATCACTTATATTTTCCTATTTTCATTTGTCTTTTTCAGGGCCGTATGCGGAATATTTTCCTGGTGGGGGAGGGGGAAAGATGCGTAAAAAGTTTTCGAAAAAACCCAAAAGCGAAAGGAGTGAAGGGAGTTCGAGCGACCGAACTGGTCGAGGGTACTTTTGCATTTTCAAACATAGAATTGAAGGATTTGGTATAGACCTTCACTACTTGTGAGCTTTGTTAAACATTTTCAGGAAAAAGTACGTTTTCAAAATCTGGGGTCAACTGCCCCCCCCCCCCCCCCGGTGCGTACGGTCATGGTATTTTTTTTTTAATTTCCCCATTTTTTCTCTCCTTTCTTTTCCCCTTTTCTTCCCTTTCTCTTCTTTTTCCTTTTATCTTTCCTTTTCCCTTTTTCCTTTTTTCTCTTTCTTTCCTTTCTTTTCTTTTTTTTCTCTCCCCTTTTCCTTTTTTCCCCTTTCCTTTCCTTTCTTTTCTTTCCCCCTTTTTTTCTCTTTCCCCCTTTTTTCCTTTCCCCTTCCCCTTTTTCTTTTTTCCCTGCCGCCCGTCAGGGGGGGGGGGCACTCTGCCCCCCTTGCCCCCCCCCCCTCAGGTACGCCAGTGTGATTATAGGCTATATCATCATTATGAAAAATTGAAAGAGGACAAATAAATGAATTTAGTTCCCTTTTCAGGAACTGTACCGCATAGAGCTGTATATAACAACTCTATGCTTACCCTCATCTAGATGCTGAGCAGGCGTTGATGAGTATTACCATGAGACGTAGTAGTAGAATTGAATTGAAATTGAATTGAGTCGAAAGAGAGGTTTAAAAAAAAAAGACGCGACGCATATCATACCCTAGTCCGTTGCGTCATGTACCGGTACGTCACTTCCGAGGTCGTGACGTCAGATTTACTAATTTCTTCATATCTTTGTATCATCACAGTCACTATATTAGTTATTACTGTTCCCGAATTTTCGTCCTGGTCGCCAGACAACTCAGTGAAATCTGATATTAAGAAAATAGTGTGGGATCAGTCTATGGTGAGTATTTTTCAAAATCAAACGTGTCTTTGTGAATTTCTGAATGAAATGTTGTCTAATTTAAACGTTAATTATCTTTCTTGCCGGCGTATATTCATCGGGAGCATCACGTGTACATTAGGGCAACGTCTAGCTGCGCTGGGCGGCTGCGCTCGGCGGGTTGGTTGTCTGGGCATGGGAAGGTGCAATGCGCTAGCTGACTGGCTCAATGAATGGAACGATATTATGGTCCGATCGGTTGTGTGTGTGTGTGTACATAGCGTGGTTGATGGAGTGTGACTGTTAGTGTTAGCTTTTCCATTGGACTGTTTGCGAAGTGGGCGGTAACTGTATCAATGCACATGGAGACATGTATAATACATGCAGAATCGACTTTAGACTGTTACTACAGAATAGACTCTACTAGACCTAGTACTCGATCTAGAGGTCTAGTGTAGTTTTGTATTGTTTGGTAGGTTTTGAAACTTAGATCTAGATTTTCTAGATCTAGAATCTAGGTCTAGATCTAGAGGTCTAGATCTAGAGAGTGTGTCCCAGAAAAAAAAGGAAACCGAGAGTTATCAATATTTTTTTTAATCATAGAATCTAGAGTCTAGATCTAGATCTAGTCTATTATTTAGTCTATATTAACATAATTAATTATAATAAATAAATTGCACGTCATTGTAAAGCTTACAATCAGATCCTCCTCTTTCATTTGATGCAACTCACATGATGCATATTTAACGTGTGAGTGATTAAAAACATTTTGAAGAAAGGGTACTAAAAAATCATTTGGTGGACGGTATCTGAATTTCAAAGAGAAAATCACATTTTCAAAAAAGGTAATTTTCTGCCTTTTCGTATGACACCTCAATCAGGAAAAATGAGCCAGGAATAACAAAGTTTTGTTTGTTTAAAATTAGAGTAATGCTTTTTTTAAATAATTTTATTTAACAAATTTGTTTTCACTGGCTGTCTGTCGTAAGAACAGAGAATACTAAAGACGTCATACATGGCTGATCGTCATTGAAATAGTTTGTTGTTTGGTGCTACCGCAGGCAGCCAGTGAAAACGAATGTTTTACAAAATGTAGCTAAAATGTATTAAGCACAATGTAGCCCAGCTTAATACACAGCCAGGATAGTTGTAGACAGAAGTAACCGTCTGATATGGGTCATTTCTTTAATGAAACTGACATTTGTTGACATTCCCCAATACAGACGGTAATCCAGAGGTCTCGCACTGTGGGGGTAATCTGGCCAATTTCTGATACCCCTTTGTGACAGAAACTTTCTACCCCGATTTTCACAATTTAGATCTAATTTTCTGATTTATAAATCAGATATGAAAAAAAATTTGTATCGTTCTCTTATTTTAACTGTTGATGACCTATTATAAAAATGCGAAATTTACGGACTTACCTATATGAGTTATCCAATTTTTATCTCAGAACCGTGAAACGGTACGTTCATAGATTCGAACTAGTAATCTATGACATGACCCGCTCGATATATATTTCCGGGTTAACCTACCAAAACATAGCGAATGGCCAATCAGAGCACTCGTTGAGTATTGCATTTATGCATGTCCACTGCATTGAATTTGTTGTCATATGAAAGGGCTTGAAGGGCACACCAACATATATTTTTTTAATGAAGTAAATCCAACAAATATTTTTTGAGATATGACATTTTTTGCGATAAAACAATGCAAATCCCTTGAGGCTTGAAGACATTTATTATGCATGTACTGTAAGGCCTAAATATGGCCCCAAATATGGCAAGGTATGCATAATTTTGAGCAAAATTGTATGATGTGCAATTGTGCATACTTGGTCTATGTTTTCTGGACTGATTTGATCAAGGTATTGATAATGTTCAACTGAGAGGATCATTGGGATATATATGTGTACATGTACATGCACTAGTAATATACATGTACCGGTATGTAGGCTGTATTCTGAAAACTGCAATGTAAGTTAACCAATCATGTTTTACAAGTTTTTACATAATTTGTTGGTGTGGTAAAAGTGTGGTATGGTTCATGATCCATGAAATGTGGTTCACAAGTCCTTGATGATTTACGCGGCCTTCATGATTCATTTGGTGTAACGAGTCGCTACCAAAGGCTTAAGAAGCAAACTTTTTTGTGCGTGTGTTGCTTGTTCAATAAATTGTGTTTATTGCTACACAAATAACACAATACATGTGTTGTATTGTTTACCTTGACATTATGAATTTTTGAAAAGGAAAATCAGAATTTGCTTTCTGAACCACCCATAAACATGTAAAAGTCTGTAACAAATGCCTTCTTTTGTTAGTAATCTGAAGGTTACTAGCAGTTCTCTTTTGTGGTTTTAGACCACTAGGTTTGTGCCAGAAAAAGTGTCCTTCGATTCAATTTAATTAAATTGTATTAGTCCAAGTTAAAATCTGTGGAAAATGATACATGGGATATTTTTCTAGCAATACAAATAAATGTATATAAGCAACCAAAACAGTTCTTGTGTTGTATGATTTTGTCCAGACTCCATAAGTAAGCAAATTTCATTAGTCTATTCCCCCCCCCCCCTATTGTAGTGTACTTTGATAGGCCATCCAGGGATGTTTTGGTATAACAATGATGTACAAAGTAGACAAACTTCAGGTCTTATCATTTTTCCTCAGAGTACTATCTATGTGTGCAATTTTGTAGTATTGACATATTACAGCATGATCTTCTTACATGTTTTCTTAACACTCTGATAATAATACACACCACTAAAATGCAAACATCTTTTTTTGCAGTATTGTCTTATTTTTTTTCTTTTTTGTGTATTCTATCATTGCTATCACAGATTGAACTGTGCCCTGCGTGAACAAACATAGTTTATTGACCTTCTCTCCACCAGCAAGCAGCCGCAGATATCTAACCTGGTTAGATCAGGGAAGCTTTGAGCCCGTGATCAGAGCATGTCCAGCATAGAGGAGGAGAAGAAGGATTCAGCCGGGCTGATTGAAAGAATGGCAGAAGCACTAGAGCTGCAGTCGGAGGCAGAGTCGGGACAGAAAGAAGCAAAGCTTCCACGTAAGTCAAACGTTTTAGAAAGTTTTCTCTTTTAAGAAGTTGATAGCCACTCCCTGGAGTTCATTCGCTGTGAAAACGTGTACCATTAACTGTTCCGAAATTCTGCAGAGAAAGAAGTTTCTTTCAAATTCTGAGCGTTTCATCTGTGGACTGAACAGTACCGGTTATAGTTTGAAAGGAGTGTTCTGTTGCTCAAACTCATTATTATGGATGTTAAGAGTACTTATCCGTGATGTGAAAAAAAAAGTATGTATGGGTATGCTTGGGTGACATTAACACTGGTGTTTACTTTAAATAAGTATTGGGTTAGGCTTTGGGATGTGATTGCATTTAACATTAGTTTTAGAGATATAGGCTTAGACTGTGTTGGGTCCAAAGTTGAGTTTTTTTAAATTCAGTCAGTGTTCAAAATTGACCATGGAACATTTTGTTGCCAGAGTGTGTGTTGTACATACATGTAAACAGCCATAGATTTTATCTGCTTGATAACTATCTGTCTGAAAGCTATTATGCTAGTAAATCACTGAATCAGTGAGGTTTTTCATGCTTTCAATGTATACAGTCAAACCTGCTTTAGTGACCACCTGTCTTCAAAGACCACATTTTTGTTTTCCTTGAAAATGGTTTCTCACCGAAACATGTACTAAAAAAATCCTGTCCTCAAGGACCACTTTTTGCATTTTCCTTGGGCTGTCGATATAGACAGGTTTGACTGTATCACAATGTATACAGACTCTTTACAACTGGTCAAGATGTAGACCTAGTTTCTGCAGGTCAAACTTACTAGATACTGCAATATTCCTGTGTGCGTTCAATTGTACATTGTAAATAATTGTGTTGTATTACTTTGTACTATTGATAAAGTCAATCACTCAACCTTTGCCTCACTATTTACTTGATCTGAAATATATAGTCTTGCACAAATATGATATTCAACTATAGAACTAAGAATTACTAGCTTTGCATTGCTTATTGTTATAAAAGGGGAGAGGGATTCATAGTGCTTCCACGTTCAAACATACACCCCCCCCCCCCCTCATGAAACTTGTTATCAATACAGAGTTGTGATAACTGTTCTCAGCTACTGAAATTGTTGCATTTAATTGGCTGAGAGCAAATTTGTTATAGAAATGAGACACTTGTTATTGATAACAAGTTTTATGAAAGTATGCCCTGTACATGTACATGTATGGGCTTGAGCAAGCACAGTATTAGCCTATAATCTAGGCGGAGTGCCGAGCTTTTTTCTTTGCTGCTAGACTAACCCTAAGCAGAACGTCTGATACGGCGAGACTACGAACCGTGAGTCGCGAAGCGGCTCACCGCCTATAATCACTGGTCTAGCTAATCAATATTCATATATATTCAAAATGGCGGATCTATGAATCATTCAACAGCCCTACCAAATAAGGTACACCTATGTTACGTTCGAACAGTGATTGCTTGAATTTTCCATTAGGAATGCCTAGTTTGTTGGCCGCATATGATAAACTTTCTCGCAGAAGATCGTCGTCGCATGAACTACCCGCCATCTTGGATGAAGAAAATGACGTATGGTCACGTGATTTATAATATGCATAGGCATAGACTCTTCTCCATACGTGTTTCTGATTGGTCGAGTTCATTTCGTATTCATGAGGTTTTTTCGTACGAAAAACTGCCACGGATTCATGGTCGATAATAAAAAAACAACGACTAAAGCTAGACCAGTGATTATAGGCGGTGAGCCGCTTCGCGGCTCACGGTTCGTAGTCTCGCCGTATCAGACGTTCTGCTTAAGGTTAGTCTAGCAGCAAAGAAAAAAGCTCGGCACTCTGCCTAGATTATAGGCTAGCACAGTATGTGATGAGTTGCACCTACTTGTATACAATATAAATATATACATTTGTAAAACATTGTATGCATGTATAGTTTTGTTTGTTTATTGAGAATTACAAACCAAAGGGGGTATGATTAGAAAAACAATTATCAGATCTCTTATGATTTTATCATCAGAAAAAGATAAAGGTTCATTTATAGTGCATTTATCTAGCTTAAAGCGTTCAAGTGGACTCTGATTTTTGAAGTGCAGTCTAGTGTTTACAAATTTGTTTTTGTGCACATCCTCTCAAACAAAACTTAGATAAATCATATGTAAATACATGTAAAGTTGTACTTTACAGGTACTTGTTCACATAAGGAACAGCAACTGAGGGGCACTTTTTTTGCTTACATGTAAATCCTCTAAGATTTAAAAAAAGGACATATTTTGTCATATTTGTTATCGGTATATATATAGTAACTTGATTTTTTTTAAAAAGTATTCCTAAAACAACCAATTTTTTTAAAAAGCACATGTACAAAGAAGCCTGTACTATATACGGTAAGGATCTTCTCAATGTACTGGTACTGTTACTATTGATAGTATCGATCTTTCCTAAATTTGTCTAGCCTCTTGCTTGGTAATTAATAACTAACCATCTTGAGGGCGGATAATGAATATAATGGGATACCAGGACAGGTCATACCAGCAGCTGTTAAACTGCACAGGAAGTGCCTGAAAATACTGGTACCCTAACCTTTCCCTATAACTAAGCCTGACTAAGAATCTCTTCATGATCTGCACATGCAGCTGTATCCAGTAGAGTTTGGTTCAGCTCAGTTCAGTTCAGATACACGTACACGTAGTTCACTAATAAGCAGACTAGTTCAGTTCATTTTACTCCACTTTCAGCAAACATTCATAGTATGCATCATGGGTATACATTACATGATCATGGGCAAATTCACAAGGTATTTGTTTGTATTAGGTAAAGAACTATAGTTTTATGATTTTACAAGCCAATGTACGAGAATAAAGCTAGTGTGCAAGTTGAAGGACCTAAGAAAAGAAGCTACATGTGTAACCTTGTATAAAATTAGTCCTGGTGGTCAAAAGAAAAAGAAAGAAAAGATAAAAGGGGGGGGGGGGGAGGAGGATGAAAAAGAGACAAGGGGGTAATACATGTAGGTAGAGAAGCAAAAGAAGGACTATCTACCTTAATAGTGTGGTACCAAGGTAGAGAGATAGAGGACCATGGAGTTACAATGCAATGCAATGCAGAAATCAGTATTATTCAGAGAATATTGTAATTGTATGCAATCTAAATAATATGTGCATCTTGTTTGGGAAATTGTTTTAAATAAAAGGGCTTAGTTTATGTTCTTTAAATTCCTAGATAAGATGGAATCAATAGATATATTAAGGCTCTTGGGTAGTCTTACAATTGTGATAATAAATAGCTACATGTTCATGTAAGGATAATTTGTTCTTGCTATACGATAATGCAGCGTGATTTCTATTTACTTAAAAATGGTTGTGCTTGATATTGTATGTTCACCTGGTCATGACGTGATTGAATTGTAAATATAGAATTCTGTTTGATCAGCAGTGAAATGAACAAGCTCATGTTGCCACTCTGTAATCACTTGAAAAGGTAGTAATGGTATAGAATCAGTTTGAAATACGGTAGGCAAAGTTCAACTCAGAGACAACACCAGGAATAGAAGCATTGAGAATATCACCTTAGGTATCCAATCCAGGAATCTGTAGAGTGGAAAATATTTAGTTGCCTAATCGTAGTTGCTTTTGAAACTGAAAAAATACTGTACTTGAAGTCCATGATGTATCTTGGGAAAATTTAGATTTTGTATTAACATTTACGCCTGTAGGTTGTATCCATTCACATTTCCCTAAAGTTCCCTAAAGCCAAATGGGATGCTCAATCATTATTGATTATTATTTATTAAGTTGAACTGTGCAGATGTTAGTGCTGTAGCCGAACCACCGAACCGAACGGAAGTTCGCCGAACATGGCACTTCCGAACCGAACCGAACCGAACCGAACGCAAAGGCCTGGTTCGGATGTTCGGCAGAAAAATGTAAACGTTTTTTGCAAGCTAATAAACTTGTCATTTTTTACCTAATTTTCATGTCATGATTGCTCATTTTATATTTACTTTTTTCCCATTTTCCAATTTTGTGATTTATGCCTATCCAGTGGTGGGCGCAACTTCACTGGCGCCATTTAAATCCCAAATCCTGACCACCCTACGTCGCGATCGCAAGCCATATAAACAAGAATACATGTGCGTGATCAAAACAGGTTCAGCTCAAACCCACTCAACAAAAAATTAATATTTTAATTGTAACCATATTGGACAAATGTTACAATATAAATGATGAAATAAATATATATTATAGTATGGTATTTATTTATCCAGGAAAAATAGGGATTTCATATTTTTCCTATTGAAAATAAAAACTTATAAAAAAACAGTTATTGACGAGCCTGAGTCTCTGTTCAAGATGGGAGCTTTCATGACTCAAACATTAGACAAAAACCGTCTCGGAAAATCTTTAAAAAATATCATTTATCGACAAATTGAAAACATGATTCTTTTAAAATTGAAAATAAAACACGATTCAAGACGAAAATACGAATGTAAGTAGTATTTTTCTTCGCAAATAATTACGTTTAGAGCAGTTTTTTAATGTGAAATTCGAGCTGGTCGGAAGCAGTGTGCAGAAGTCCTCCGTGCTGGTCGGGCTCGGCAGGGCGGGCAGCCCGCCAAGTGCCGACCGCCGTGGCTATAACGCTGCTTGCTATTATATTACCGAACCCCGAACCGAACCAAGTTCGGGTGAAAAATTGCCGAACTCTGCCGAACCGAACCGAACACGAACATAGCGTCTGACTTACAGCACTAGCAGATGTAGACTAAAATTCTTATTACCGGTATAACAACCATTTTTAATGCAAAGTATATTTTTTGTCTATAATTTAATTGAGGTTATTGGAAATATCAGAAAAAACTTTGGGCATCCTATCTGGCACTTCATATACAAGTCGTTCGTAAAGTCATGCATAACTTTACAAACTCTTTATGAAACACCCCCCTGGAGTAACTTAAAATCAATCAATTCATACAAGAACATACAATTCTCATTCCATTTTTAGTTGTGTTTCAATCGTCATAGAATGCAACAATGAAGTTACTAAAGGTAGTTCGAATTTGCTGCATTAATCCAATGGATTATAAGGACATAACATAAGATTGTGTGTGTGTGAAAGCTACATTACAGTTCAAAAGCATACTGCATGTGGCATATTCTATTTACTCTTATTGACAATTGAGTTACAGACAGATATAATGTAGTTCTCACCTTGTCTGAGTCTAATTTTTTTTTTAAAGCATGCTTTCATTTTGTGCTGGTAGAAAAAATGACTGGCAAAGGTGGTGGATTTTGCATCTGTCAGGCAGATGTTGTGTAGGACTGTGATACAAGTTACAGTACAACTTTCAATTGAATCCCATGATTTATTTGCATGACGTACAGTAAAGCAATGTTGAAATTGGATTTTAATATTTTCATTATTTATTAGAGTTTATCTCACTACCAGCAAGCATTGTCAGTGTACAGTGCATTTTAAGGAATGGATCAAACCCGCCCCGGTATCTGCTTATTACACGTGACTCAAAAGAGGCAAACATTGATTAGAATCTTGCCAAAGGACATGAGATCGAATCGATACTGAGGCTTGAACACATGACCTTCACATCCTCAGTCAATCATTCAAACCATTCGATTGCACCACCACTAAGCTTTACTTTCAATATCATTTTTTTATTTCATTTATTCAGCTATGCCATGGTGTGGGGCAGACATTGGGGGCACCCTGGTAAAGCTCGTCTACTTTGAACCGACCGACATAGAAAACTCAAACACCCCCACTGATGCAAGCGTTGAGCCGGGCACCCTGGAGAAAATCCAACGCTACCTGACGTCGACCACCGCTTACGGGGAGACTGGCGTAAGAGATGCACACCTGCAGATCGAGAATGTACAGGTGCTTGGACACCATGGCACGCTACATTTTATACGCTTCCCAACGTATAACATGTCACAGTTCTTGGACCTCGTTAAAGACAAGAATCTATCCAGTGTGTCAAATACTCTGCATACGACAGGGGGCGGAGCTTATAAATTTGAAAGCGATATATTAGAGGTAAGGATACAAGTGATTTGAGCACATGACATAGTGTGCTATCCTTTGTGTGAAAGTGTGGAAGCTAGGTCTGTTATACGGTGCGTCCCAGAAAACAATGAAACTGAGAATTATCGATTTTTTTTATCATAAATTAATCACAACTATGATTAATAAATGACACATATTTGTAAGGCTTAGACCCTCCTCTTTCATTTGATGCAACTCATGTGATGCATATTTCACTCATGAGTGAGTAAAAACAGTTTAAAGTCATTTGGCAACTGGTATCTGAATTTCAAAGAAAAAATCACACATTTCTAGAAAGTTCATCTTCTGCTCTTTCATATGACACCTCGATCAGGAAAAATGAGCCATGAATAACAAAGTTCTGTTTGTTTAAAGTAATGCTTGCATTTTCATGATTTTTTTTAACGAATCCGTTCCACTAGCTGTCTGCCCTAACAACAAAGGAGAGGAAAGAATTCATGCATGTCTGATCGTCAACGAAACAGAGTTTTTTGTTTGTTGCTACAGCAGGCAGCCAGTAAAAACGAAATCGTGTTATCATTTTGTCATAATACTAAACATGTATATCACAACAAACATCTATGCAGTGTCTAGAAATTGTTAGACAGAACCAATAACTATATTCCTAGAAACTCTCTTCCTTCTTTTGCAGACTGTCAATATGCAACTAGTGAAAGCAGACGAATTCAACTGCTTAATACGAGGAATTCACTTTGTTGACCGGTTACTACCCAACGAGTGCTACTACTGGAATAACCCTGACCCCCTGGACAATGAGGCGAGTGAGAAGGTCCCCTACGACTTCAAGAACCCGTACCCGTACCTGGTGGTCAATGTGGGGTCAGGGGTCAGCATGCTGGCCGTCAGGTCACACAACGACTTTGAAAGAGTCACAGGAACTAGGTACGTCCTGTTGTTGAAGGCTGAACAACAAATAATCCTTGAGCAGTATCCCCAGGGGGGGGGGGGGGGGGGGGCATTTCACAAAGCCATTTTTCAATGACAAATGACGAAAGTCAGTGAAAAATCTGCTGATAACCAATCAGAAGCAAGCATTTCAGTAGCTTATAACAAAAATTGTCATTTGTCACTGATGACAAGTTTTGTGAAACGCCCCCCAGATCTGTGACCCAAATAAAGTGATTACATTACCATGGATTGATAATTAAAAGAACAACAACATCAAGGTTGAATTCATTTGTTCTGGTAGACATATCACAATAGCCATTAATTGTACAATACAAATTTGAAATCTTTATCAAACACATGCAATGAAGTGTGAGAATTTCTTTTCTGTATTAATCAATGTAAAGTATGAGATTGCATCTTCATAAACCTTTATACATATTATGAATTTTTAATCACCTCATTTTTGGCAACTATTGATTATTTTTCTAGCATTTGGGTAATCAGTAAGTCTGCACAGATTTTTTTCTCTGTAATTTCCAGAATTTAAGAATAGTTGTTCACAGTGAGGTCTTTTAATGATCCTTCTATGTTATCTTTGTCTCTATCATCAGTCTTGGTGGAGGAACTTTCCTAGGTCTATGCTGCTTACTGACTGGATGCGAAACCTTTGAAGAAGCTCTTGATATGGCATCCAAGGGAGACAACACCAGGGCAGACAAGCTGGTCAGAGACATCTATGGAGGCGACTATGAAAGATTCGGTCTTCCCGGATCCACAATTGCCAGCAGGTAACTATTAAAGCGCAGAGTCTGATGTCCCAATTTTGATTAAAAAAATGATCAGTGGTAATTGATATTATTTGTTATCTCATCTTTATGTCAGTTTACCTCATTCTCTTCATCTTTATTTAATGTGAATTTTTCTCTCTATTTACCTCTACCCAACTCAAATTTCTCCCATCTTTGTTTTAAAGATAGCAACATTTAGTAAAAATTCACCAAGTTCCACAATAGACAAGAAAAACTGTGTTTTTATGAACTTTCCTCATCTTCATGCCTGTGTTTGCTTTTTTATATTTTATTTTTTATTGTTGTGGCTATTGGAATATGGGAGGGGGGTGCAGATGATATCACATGACAAAGTTTGTCTCAGTAGTTTAATCTGAGACTTTATAATCTAATTTTCATTTTTCGTTTGTTTTCAGTTTTGGTAACATGCACATCAAAGAGAAGAGGGAAGAAGCATGCAAGTGTGACTTAGCAAGAGCAACTCTAGTAACCATTACCAATAACATTGGGTCTATAGCTATGATGGCAGCCATGAGAGAGGTAAGATCCTAAGAAAACTTATTCAGGGGGTGTTTCACAAAGATCCTATGTTGAACTTATCTCTAAGTTGGACTTAACAATTATGGAAAGCTATTTGCATCTTTGAAACTTTTTTGTAAACGTTATTTTAAAAGGCATATAATGTTGATTCAAATCATTCATATTTTCTATTTTCAAGGAGATTTTATGTTCTTGATGTGGAATATATGAAAAGTCTAAAATACTTTATTATTTGCTTTTGATTAAATATTATTTTAAGGCTACAAATGGCTCTCCATAATGTTTATGTCCAACGTAGAGTTAAGTTCAACTTAGGATCTTTGTGAAACACCCCCCAGGTGTAGTTTCCTGTTTGATGTTATACGTAAGTCCTGAGGATAGGTCTGGTTTAAACCTGAGGTATAGTTTTTCAATAAGCAAGTTAAGTATAGTATAGAGCTGCCAACCAGTACAATTTTATTGTATTTCGTACGATTTTTAGAAGTAAACACAACAAGTACGATTGTCCAAAAATAAAAATTTAAAAAAGATTTCCTGAAAACTTGAATGGATTATTGAATGCAGAAGAGGTGAAAAATCACTATGTGTGTTAACGACATATGTTCAACCAAAGGTTGGTTGAATGTATGGAGTTGTACAAATCTTTGAAATTACACTGCCATGCACTACCAGTACAGAAAGGGATAACCTTAAGCCTTGGTTTGGGGTTATTCACTTATTGACACTAAATGTCAGTATAGTCAGAACTTTTTTATGATCTATGAAATCGTTCATCATAAGTGGATTTCTAATTAAATACTATTCTTTGTAGATGTGATAGTGGGTTTTTTCCTCAGCCCATCACCTTTCATCTGCCTTGTGCCTGAGGTGATATTTGGGGCTGTTGAGATTAACTTTGAAATAATTTTTTATCTGTTTCAGGGCATTGAGCGAATTGTGTTTGCTGGAAACTTCCTCCGTACCAACCCAGTTGCACAGAAAACATTAGCCTATGCCATGGAGTACTGGACCAAAGGAACAAAGAAGGCCCTTTTCTTGCAACACGAGGTAAGGGAAAAATGGTGCTGCAGGTTTATTCTGAATTTTCTCTACAATTTTGTTTGCTGTTCTTGAAGAGTAGGTATATTTTTTGTATACTGTTTGTGGATTTCAAGATGACAGCACAACATTGAGGATTCAATAAATGCATTTGTCTTTCACAGTTTATAATTCTTTTTAAGGATTAATTCATCAGTTTATAAGCTAGAAGGGCATCAACTCATATACAGAGAGATATTGAACTTCTGGCTCTGAACAGACAAAATTATGGTAAAAATGAAATTATTTCCCTGAACATATCTCCAGTTTTCTCTTTGCTCATATACAACTGCATGAAACCCAATGGTAACCTTCACTTTCAATGTATGGTATCCTAATGCCAGTTCACATTGCATCATTGATCTACATTTGCCACACTCAACCCAGGTGATGTAAATGGGTACCTGGCAGTAATTAATTCTTTGAAATGCTAGAGCGCCATAATGGTAGCACAGCTGAAGCCGGGGTAATTTTTGGAAGCGCTTACTACAATCACTAATATATATATATATATATATATAAATCACTATATAAATACTGAGTATCATTATTTTTCAGGGCTACTTCGGTGCAGTTGGTGCCTTCCTAGAGAACGTCGGCTACACAGACGACAGGAGTCCCAGTCCCGACATGGAACGCAAGCAAACTGTGACCAAGGCCCCCGTCATCTCGGAATCAAGCAGTAAGGAGCAACTCACCAACGGCAGTGTGGAGAACCACATAGAAGCGAGTACGGCAGAAGACGTCTCTCTTTGACCAACGACCTTTGACCCCCCCATGACCTCAGATCAGTGACCTTCCTTAATTCCAGTATGAAATCAGGGATTCTGGCGCTAGAGCCACTGTCATGTCCATGTTCGCAAGGTGCCAGTAGTTATTTTTTCAGTGATTTTAATCAGTGATTGTAATCGGTGATTGTAATCCGTGATTGTAATCAGTGATTGTGATCAGTGAACCTGATATATGATTTGATTTCAGGATGGAAGAGTTTGGGTGTGATGTTTCCATGGAAACTGGTCGGTCTTGAGATGCCTCAGATTGATAGGATGGAGGTGGTATTTCTTATGAGGATGGAGGAATAAAAACCGATGCCATGTGGATACACATTCTTTTTATTATGAAAGGAACTACTACATCTATTATGGTTTCTTCTCTACCTGGCATTGGTTTTTATTTACATAATGAGAATGATTAAGATACCAAATGAAAATGCTTCCTCTATTTCAATGACAATATCAAAGGAATGAATTAGGTAGAGTGCATATGGAGTCAAACATTTTGTCTCGTCTACTTTTTACATTTGAAATGGAGAGTGGCCTAATAAATGAGATTTAAACAGGATGAAATTAAGTGTACTATTCAAATAATTATCAACTCGCATTTCAGGTGGTTACTGTAAATTACAGTGATACTAATTAAATGTATTTCTTGGTCTTTGATGATGATGGGTTTTTTAATGTCATTTGATGAAGCATAGAAATATTACTTTACAACTGAGTGCAATGGTAGGGATTCCTTTTCATGTTAGGAATTATATTTTTTAGGATAAAGGGGTGCCAGGGATGGTGATGTTTGCACAAAATTTGATTTGCCTGCCCCAAAAAGATTGTACTATTTCCATATGATGTGGATGGACTTAAGCGCTCAATCTGTAATAAACACATGGGGTGTATAGATGAAGTGCCCATCCAAATTCTAAGAATTGATTAGTACTGTAATTTGTCAGGATAAAAATACTGTGAAACGTCCAGTTTGTTGTAATATTTAGTAGTGTGTAGCATGTCTTCTTAAAGCCCGTCTGTACTAGTTTGGCCAGGAGGGATTAGACCACCCAGCGTGGCCACTGACGGGTGGTTATCTCATCAACTCAGCCCTCAATTTACATAAGAAAAAGAGGATCATAGGGGACCAACAGGCACCGCTTAGGCTTTGTTTTCTATATAGAGGCAGCAAGTAGCTACATCTACAAGTAGTACAGTGGGGCTTTAAAGAGCATCTGACATCATTAGGACTGTGACATTCCGCTATGGTTATTGAAGCTTTGGCCCGTTGCAAGAAAACTATCAACCATAAACCATTGATGTTGTGAACATCCTTTGAACTCATTTATTTGAATGAATTGTCCACATACTTGAAACTCATGATGGTTTCTTTCAATGGACTCCTAGATTCCTTTCAAAGTGGGGGATATTTTATATTTCAAGATTCTATTTTTTCTTTCAAGGTTGCATCAATCTGTTAAAATTTGATGAAGAAAGCTTGTTTAGGAAATTAATTATCACCTCTCTATTATTAAAGGCAAAGCATATTATATATATACTTTAAAGCAGTTCGCACTGTATTTATGTAAAACATAATTTATAATTATATTGAGATATCTTGTAGGTGAATCCCATGTCAGAGATCGTATTCTTTCAGCTCTTAAGTACATGTTCCTAATGGAAGCACAAATTCATATTAATCATAAAATGATAACTACCATCATTATGAATGTGAATGAGTTATAGTACCAATATGTTATATTTGTTCAACAAACTTTCAATGTTTAAGTTTGCATATATGAGGTACATGTAGTACATGTATAGAGTTTATAACTATATCTAATTTTATACATATCTTTATAAACCTGTTTTTGTATACTTAGTTTTATATATTGACTTTAATATTTTTTTTGCATTAATGTTAACAGGGTTGTGGTTATCCAAAATTTTCTTCAATCTAAGTTTTTTGGTTAATAAAAATATTAATTGAGCTCTACGGAAGCAATGGTAAAACATAGGCTTTTAAGCATGGGATGTGACTTTTAAATAAACACATAAATTATTTGGTTACTATGTTATTTGCTTAGCAAAATCTGTATTGGATCATCATGCCAATACTTATTACCAGGAGCTGCCACATAGCAATCATGCACTTCATTCATCTTTAAGATGGAAAACAGATGGAGCATCATACCTGATATATCTGATGTCTCTAAGTCATTTTGTTTAGGAACAGTTCCTACAACATTATATAAAGTACTATCTTGCCATGTGTGTGAGTTACTTTCTAGTAGTCTGGAAGTAATACCTGGATACTCTTTCAAACTTTTCTTTTAGAAACCACGGCAAGTGCACAAAACTGCTACTACCTGATTTGTGAGCAATTGTGGAATTGGAATTAAATGTATGAAATGTAATGATATTAAAAGTAAAAAAAGTTCAAGATTTTTGAAAAACATGTATGATACTACTCCCCCCCCCCCCTTTATTTTGGGGTAAGATTTGGGCATAGAAATTCGTTCCTGTTTTCACGAAGTGTCGGTAGTAGTGAGGGAAATCCGCACGCAAATTGTATACAATTTTCATTCACTACCGTCATTTTGTGAAGTACATGTATAGAACTGTAGCCTGAGATATAAAGGATAATATTAGGTTTTAAAAAGGCAGTTGGTAAGGTTCTGTACTGTGGCATAGGGTTGTGACCCAGGGTTCAATCCCAGGTTACATCTATTCGCAAGTGACATTAAAGTTTGGTCCACAGATGTAAATACTAAATGTATTAATATGCGTCTGTAAAATTTCAAATACATACACACTCACTTGCTTGAAAATGGGGTTTCCCCCTTTGAAGTATTCTCTCTGTAGGATTAGAACCTTCTCTAAATTGTTGCAATGATATCCTTTATATACTGAGTAAGGGTTGAAGGACTGATATGTAATTTGCCCGACTGATGGCTTGTTCATATATCCCACAGTAAACTGCCTTGGTTCTTGACAACTTTTAATGTGTGTACTACATGTAAATGAATGATTAGTGGGGATGAAAAAAACCTATTGGTCCTAGGCGTACTTACTTATCTGTGTGTTATTAGATACAAAAATATGAAGTGCAGTATTTTAGGTAAGTTTAAACTGCCTGTGTAGTACATGTAAACCACTGCGATTTACTATGGCATATAAGTCATTATAAGGGTTTCCTGTTGAAACTTGTGAACCAAACATGTGAACCAAATATTCTGTCTTGTGCCTACCAAATTCTGCTGTCAAGAATCCAGAATTTTCTCATATTGACAAGAATTTTGAAGCAATATGCATTATGATCATACTTTAGAAATGATATGCCATGACCGTTTATGAAATTCTTCCACATGTCTAAGACCCATTTGTACATTTTGTATATAAATTTTGGTACACTTCGGAAGCCAATGTTTTCCGTAGACATTGATGTGAAAGTTTGATTTTGTAAACTTTCAGACGTTATTGCCAATTCAGGCTCAAATTGATGGTTTATTTTGTATTCTGAATAAACTGTTTTAATGTCATGATTATACTCTTATCCATAAAATGAATATTTGTGTACATATTGAATACTAGGATGAGATTAAAATTTTAACCAAATTATGATGAAAATTAGTTTGAGTGAGTGCATAATTTATTTTGTGAAACATTTTACATCGTATTATGAACATCAATGTCAAAAATCAATTGAGGATTTAAAGGACTGCGTACCGGTACAAGGAGTAATTTTTATAATCTTTTTCTTTCTTGTATTAGTGCTCTAAGTATTCTGTTAGAAATGTGTGTCTCAACTTTGTTCATCTATGTTTTTAGTGTTTCATTTTCCTGTAACTGCTCATCACAACATTCATCATTAGTCAACATCATTTTAATCTTAATGCTCAGGAAAAGGAGAGTTATCAACTCCAGATGTATATATTGTCACCAGCATCATTATCGATTCATTATCACCATCATTATCATTACTAGCTTCAACATTTTCCACCACCAGCATCATCATCACCACCACCACCATCATTATCAACAGCAGCACTATCGGTAGCATCATCGTCACCATCAACGTTATCACAGTTGAATACCATTCCCTTCATCACATCATCATCATCATCATTAGATGATTACCCACCAACAGCATCATCAGCATCAATGTCACTGCTGCCACCTCCATCACCACTACCACCACCACCAACACCACCAACACCATTATTATCACCATCAGCACCAACACCATCACCACCACCACCACCACCACCATCATCATTGCATCGCGAGCATTATTGAAGCCCAGAAACCATTTCTTTTTGTTTTCGGGGACGGGCGGGAAATGAATTTTCACCCTTTTCCGCATTTTAAGCCCGCCCCTCCCCATGGACAAATTCACGCAACTCAAACTCTAGGGTCATTTACTTTATTATCTTTGGTGAGTAGATCAATATATATACATGCGCAAAATTTATACAGATAGTACAGTGCGTATCAACAATTAAAATATACCCAACTTTGGTAGATTTCCTTCTGAAAGTTATAACCTGTGTGGCCTTGAATTATATTTCATTTTAAAGGGTAACTAATGTTGTTGTATTAATGGTACCTTATTCGTAACTCTGCTACCACAGATGACTCGCAGAAAGATTATGAATATGGTATCATTAGACAGAAAACAAGTTACTCTTTATCATAAAATAGATTTCAGGGTCACATCGATTATGACTTTAAGCTACCAAAGTTAGGTATATATATTTTTTTTATCTAGTCGTTTAGTGACTACAATGACCACTTTAAGGAATGATACTCGATATAAAATCATCGAACAGGGTTTAGACCCTCAACAGAACAGACCTGAAGTGAAATCGTGATCAAATCGTATGCAACCATAGAAGAAAAAGAAGAAAGGGGAAAGGAGGAGGAGGAGGAGGTGGAAGAGTAGGAGGGGTAGCGAAAAGAACACGATGAAAATAATTTAGGCAAACAAGTTTCATACTACCAAAAATTGGGAACATAAAGACACTGTGTATACCCACATCTCTAGAAATGTTTGCATATCGTTCGCATAAATAACTACTACTTTCATTTCACACACTGCAATACTGCTTCAAAAAGAATACGGTTTCTGAGATGATTTATTAATTAAATAGTGATCATATTGATCAAGACAATATATCCTCATATTGCACAATCATCACGTGTCCTCACGATTTCGGACGGAGTTGCTGAACTTAAAAAAAAAGTGCTAGTTCCTTCCCGAATTCCGCTTGTTCTAAATTATATTCTCGCTCCCTTTTTATAAATTTATATCTCCTTTTCTTTTTCCGTCGTAAGCATCAAGACATCAAACGTTTCGATTAGTTTTGAATAATTATCGCATCACAGTGTCATGATATTATCATAATTTATCATCAATCATTAATCTTTACTAATTGAAAGTTATTATTTTTGTACGGTTTACGTACTTCAAGGAAAATGAATGGTTACTTTTAAAGCGCCATCACTTCTTTCAGAGGCCGCAGAGGACACAACATGATGTACCCTTGAGTTGTGAAATGCAGAAAGCTTTGAAAGGGACCAGCAGAGGCCCAAAACGATGTGGCTCTTAACTTTGCTAGACATTGGGAAATAGTTGTGTGTATACTTGAAATGATGATGATCCTGGCCAGTCAGCGCTTTATAGGTTAAACATCTTGATTGAGATGTGTCTAAACCTGTTGATATGGCCAGTGACGTAGTGCGAGTCACGAGGCTTCCATTTAGGAGGTACTGGAACGATTGTCGATTGGGGGGCACCGGCCTTGCTCTGAAAATTAAATGCGAATTTACAAGGCTACGGATGAGGTGACGGGGTGGTGCATGAGGTTGTCAAAGGCATCTTCTTTTCTCGTTTTTCCCCCTTCTCCCTTTCCATTTCTGCCTTTCCTCGCTTTTTCTTTCTTCGTTTCCCCTTCTTTTTCACCTCTTGATGAGGGGATGGGGAGGGGCATGGGGCATGAATCCCCACGTCCCCTGACGACACCGAAACGAGACCTTAACTTGTGGGCGTAGCCTGTACGTGCCATACTCGAAATAAACGTGAATAGTATACAGGAACTCACATCATTCACTAAAATCCAGATCGCTGGTCTCCGACTCGGACTCGGACTTATTTGATTCTCGATTCACAAATACATGTAGTAGGCTTTGAGCAAAAGTATCTACAAAATAATATAGTGTCCATACTATAGAGTTGTGTTGACAAAATTTTACAGAGTTGTATCTGTTCTGCATCAAATATTTTGTTTCCAAGAAATACACTCATGAAGTTAAATTATAAACATGATGTGGCACTGTCGAGTCTCCATATCATATGTCTATCTATGACTGTAACCGTATAATGTTTCTTTAAACATTCTCGATGGAAATCTGAACTCGATGTGATTTCAGACTGACGTACGAAGTTTTTGGTGCCGTGTTCATAAAAGTTGTAAACGACTGTTTTATTAGATAAAACGCGTTTATATAATGGTTTTCATGGTTCCGTTCTCAAACAGAGTCTCGGATTTTTTCCGTCGAATCGGATGCCAACCATCAAGAAATTATACAGCAGCAGCTTGTTGAAGCTCGAACTTGCTTTGGTTCCTGAAAAACAAGTTAAAAGGAAATTATCAATTTACTTGGAGAGAATCAAATCCATAGTCTATGGATGGAAAATATTTCAGATAGGATTAAAAAGCTGTGAAAGTTTAATTACAACAAGAACTTTTTCAAGAGGAATATATACAAATAATGACACACTTTGTGGGCATAAGTCACATTCTACCCCTAAACTCGTATCGGGTAATTGGAAACAAAATATATCTGACCAAAATATTGGGAATTTAAGTACTAATTTTACTCAATACCAGTTACTTTGGTTCAATGTTCATGTTCAATTACATGACCTCAGCAGGAACATTCCACTCCTAATACTTGTATTTTGTTTGATTACATAGAACATGTTTTATGCAGTGTAGTGCATGCATGAACAAGATTAAAAATACATATTTACGATCCATGGTTATCAACCAGAGCCCGAAATGACATAGCTAGGCCTAAGTATTTTTTAGCCGGACTTGTCGATAACTTGACTTGATTTACAAACTTGTATGCTACAAGACCAACCGTTATCGTATATTTTTAAACCCCCTACCATTTGAAAATCAACACTTTTAATGCATGAAATTATAAGCATCAAATCCTTCACAAAGAAATATAAAGCCTAGAAAAGGTAAAGCATTTCATACATAAAGCCGATGTTCACGGTAGGCCTACATGATAATCAAAATTTGTGACACGATTCAGAGTTTATTTAGTATATGTTTTGTGAGTTAGTTCAAATACAAAGGCCAGTATCTTGAAACTGTCATGTCTACAATCGTGGAGGCTCATTGGAACACGTGAATTTCTAAACTTATGGTATATCACAGAACTAAGACTTATGAGGTCTCGAGAAACTGGCCTCACGACTTATCAATATACAGTGCGTCCCAGAAAAGAACGAGACCGAGAATTATCGATGTTTTATCATAACTTAATCACAATTTGTAAAGCTTACATCCTACTCTTTCATTTGATGTAACTCATAGGACCTAAGCTTTACAAATATATGTCATTTATTAATTATAGTTGTGATTAATTTATGACAAAAAATCTCAGTTTCGTTTTTTCTGGGACGCACTGTATAATATTGGAATGCTTACAGGTTGTTTGGTATTAATAGGCATCTGTGATTGAGTTGTAGTGATGTTAGCATTTTCCTCAGCACCGTTAGTTACATCCGATTGCTAATAGATCGGATAGGAGTATTATAAAGAGGTTAAGTTATTGGTTAGTAGAAGTGAAAATAGACGACAGAGGCGTATCAAGAAATCGATACTCAACAAGGGCGGCTATACCTTCAAGAACAGAAGGGACCGGGTTTGGGGGGGGGGGGTGGTGGCTTAGGGAAATGTATCTGGGCAGTTGCTGCCAACTACAAGCTGGTTGATTTTTCAATTAGCTACGGGGGAGGGGGAGGGTAAGGGCTTTTGCCGACTGAATACGCCATCTGATGAAAATGTGCCAATATAATAAAGGTAAAACCAAAACGTCACTTTTAAGATATATTAATATTTAAATCAAACAATGATTAGTGTACCATTATAATACTTGTCGTTAAATTGCAATTAGTGATTTATGAATAGAAAGAGAGAGAGAGAGAGAGAGAGAGGGGAGACAGAATAGTGGGTATATAAGGCACTTCGGAAGAAAAAAACCAAATCGTTAGATGTTAGTTACTTTTGAATAATTATGCATGGATCTTGTAATCAATAGTATATAGCATGCAAGGATTTTTAAAAAAATTATTTCAAAGGCATTAGAACACCTGACAATACGAGGGCCTAAAAAAAGCAAAGTGATTCCTATACCTTTTCATGTTTGATTCCATTGGACGGTGACATTGTTTCATTACCATTAGCCACGCCTCCTCTTCGTTTATCAATGGCCTTAGCCACGCCCACCATACCCGTATCCATGGCGAGTTTATGTGCATCGAAAGACTCGACCATGATTTCTTCACTTGAATCATCAGGACGATCCCATTCCTGAGAGAAAAAAAAAGAGGTGAAAACATTGAAAATATTCGGAGTCGGGATATATTATTACTTGAACGACAAAGTGAGAGGTCTTAGATCTCCCATGATAAATTAATTATAAATAAAACGACTTTGTGTAAAGACCTGTTGGTTTATTACAAGTTTAAACAGTGTTTGTATACAAGCACAGTCTTCAGGGGAAGGCAGTCCAAGCAAAACAGTAATAACTAACTTGCATTTTTGTGTTCTCTTTTTGTGGATAGAAAGTTAAATATGCCGAATTTATCCTGAAGCAATTGCCACTATACCCCATTCTTAAATTATTCAATTCATAGTCTTTTCAGATTACCCCGCATAAATAATACTCTATCCACTTTTTTTTTAAAGGATGTTCATCTGCCCAAATTCAAATAAGCAAAATGCAAGTCCGCGTTTTTTCGTCTGTCGTAAGCGAATCAGTGAGGGCAAATCTTATTTGTTGTTGTTGTTGCATTCTACATAAAATCTATTATTTACCTGATGATCAAAGTCCAGATCAATGCCGCGGTCGATGAGCTGGTGGGCGATCTCGACATGGCCGTTCCTGAGAGCGATCATGAGGAGAGTATAAGCGCTACATCCAGCTGCCTTATCACCGTGTAAATCCTTGAAGGAAACAAGATGGGGACAATTAATTAAAGGCATCGTTTAGCAATGTTAACTCTGAGATGCATGTCCCTATACGCCGTGGTATCAGTGTCTGTGATATGGTGTTATATTGAAGCCCTAACACAATTGCGCTTCAAAATGATCATGAAGTGCCTCAAAAAGTAAAACTCTTTGAGTGACCGGTTATACCATACCCATTTCCCCCAATAGACTGAAATGTTATAAAAAAAAACCGTTTGGAAAACGAAAAATGAAATTTCGATTTCCAATCATAAATATCTTGATAATCAGACAGGCGATCGGCTTGTAAAAGTTATGGGATTCCTGACTGACCTAAAGGTTTATAATGATGATTGAAGCATGAGCTAAATCCAGGATTTTGTTTCAGAATCGAAGGCAATGTTACCGAGTCACTTTAAACAACAAGATCACAAAGACTTTCGAGAAATGAAATTAGGCAATTTCAATACCATAAATGTATTGGCCATAGGAATCACGTTTGGATTATGACTATATAGTCTTGTCATGGTAATTTTCACAAAATTTCAATAGGTGATGGGAAGTGCTATCAAGATTGCCGTTACAGGTTGATTTTTCGAAAGTTTTGCGATCTTCCTCAAAATATGTGGATAACTAACAGTGCGAGTGAAGCCCTTTAACATCCGTTGCAATAAAATACGTAATACATTGGGAAAGTAAAGTATAACCAATATAGTAACTTTGGAGATGATAGATTTCATAATTATTAAGGTTCATAACTAATAAAATGCTCGATCATTTGATTTTTTTTTATTTCCTATGACAAAAAGTTCGTATATTTGTTTCGGCAAATAATATTATGTACCGACCTGGTTTGTAATCTTGTAATATGGACAATATTTCATTGTGTATAGGAGGAGGCAATAAAATGTTGATTTTAAGACATCCACGACTAAAACTATTCGGGAAAAAATGTGAGAAGCATTTTCTTGTACAAATAACTTTAGAAAGGGAGATTCATAAAATCAATATGAGCAAACTCTTTGAAATATAATATGAGCATATATGGTTAACGCTTATAATTTCTTTCTGTTCTCAACTTGTAGAACGTTTACAAGTTTAACAATAATCTATAATTGTCTTCTTGATCCGTCACATTATGGAAAAAGACACCGCCAACTGCAATGATATGAACTAAAATGATCTGCAGAAAATTTCTGATATAACAAGTTGCAGTTGCACAGTTGTTTTGTGATAAAGCGTCATTAATTAGAGATTTGAAAACGATTAATGTTAAATCATTTCCAAGGAGAGAGTTTCTTGGAGCAGATATTCCGGGGTTTTTTGCGTGTTTGTTTGTTCGATGCTTAATTGTTTCTACTTGACTGCAACCCACATTATTGTGGTCAAACCAAGCCTCTACAAACCCCCACTTTTAAGAGAATAACATAATTTTTAATGAATTATTGTCTGAAATTTGGACAAATTTAATAAAACGTCTTTTAGTAGTGAAAGATTATCGCTAATGTTTATAAGTATAAAGCATAGTTAAAATAGAGTCGTGTGTGTTCGCACGTAATATCTCTGCGCTTGATTGCGACCACCCCCCCCCCCCCCAACTCTTCGGAACGGATCTGATTTCCGCCACTGCTTCTAACTTTAGTAACTTACCACTTTCATGTTCATATCAGCATCAATGTGACGTAAAAGATTATTCACTTTATCTTGCTGACCATCGACTACGGCGTGAAATAAACGCTGCAAACAGAAAACAACAAGAAAAGGGGCGTTTACATCTCCGAAATTGTGTAGATAAGGAAAGAAGCCTGTATTGCAACTAAGCGCAATGAATTCCCCTGATCTAAGATAGTCTGAAGGTAGTGTGAGAAATGAGTGTATAGGGATTTCGGAATTAAGTGGGCGTCCATAAAAGGGGCGTCGGAACATAGGGGTGTCGGAGATATTTGAATATCGAAAGGAATGGATGGCGGATCGAGAGATATGCTTTAACCCCCCCCCCCCGGTATAAATCGTGCCTGGTGAAAAATAGTCTGTATTTTATGATAGGGTTGTCAGAATAATATGGGCGTCGAAACGCTGAAGCATGCCTTACATAAAATAAAGATGTGCAATAATAGAGGGTTTTAGTAATATATTAGGGAGTTAAAAACAAGTTGTCGAATGTAGGACGTCATAATGGACGGATATCATAAGGTCGTCAAAACAGACGGCTTCGACGGAACACAGGGGTGTCCGAAGTCGAAACATTATCGGGCGTTGCCGAACATGACTGTGTACGCGAGCGTCGAATGGTCGAAACAGGGGCGTCGGAACAATACGGTCGTCTCGGGACGCAAATAGTATACGGGGAAAAACCACAGGCCAACTTGTTAAATTCGAAAGATTTACCAAAGAGAAGAGATAAACGCAGCCAACACTTCCGACTCTTCAATCATCATCGTTCACCATTTCTTGACTGACATAGCTTATGAACGATTATTACAACGACAGAAAATTTCTTCAAACATCAATAATTTAGTTGCATCAAAAGTGTATGAAATCGACTTGCTCTTTCAAATTGAGTGAGTTGGTTACCTTGGGAACGGGTAGTCTGCAGTCGATCTGATCAACAATTTCTTGAAGCCCAGACTCTTGTGCCATGTCCCTTGCTCCTTGTTTGCCGTTTACACCCTAGATACGATGGGAAAGGGTGTGTCATGTGTGGACAGTGTAATGCATTAGAATAATGATACTGATCAGTAAAAACAAAGTAAAAGAAATTATTTAAAAAGTTACAAATCTAAACGTTTATCTTACTGGTTGACAAACAAAATGTCTCACAGGTCATAGTAATGTACGATATCATGTTAAAATAGGAATTCGAAAAGAGACACGAGTAGTTTGAACATGCTCACTTGCTCAAAATGTATGATGTATCCGGCTTAGAACAATATGAGTCAGTACGATCAGAAGATCATGGTATATTAATTACTACGAGCTCTGACGCCTTAATTATCTCGACTTTTGCCGATTTTGCTCAAATTCAAACTCGGCCCCCTGGCCTCGGCGATCTCAACCATCAGACTATTTAAGAGCTCGTGAGAAAACGGCCATTCAGCTCTGCACATTGATTGTGATACAATTTAAGAGGGATTTAAGAATGTCTGGATTCATGGCTTACCCATGTCTTATGGTTGACATCAATGCCCCTCTCAATTAGAAGTTTAGCAGTCTCGACTTGAACCGAGTCAATAGCCAGCATCAAGAGGTTCCGATATAGAGATTTGGCCATCATGTTCCCGCCCTACACAAAATAAAGTAAACATGATTGATTAGATTGAGATTTAACAAGATCATTAGCAATAATTATGATATATACTTAAATACCGATTATGAACGATAAGAATTGTAAGTGTTGAATTAACCTGAATTAGCATCCAATGTAGTTATAATTTAGAATTGAGTTATTTACCATTTTTACAGGATATGTTTATTATTTTTATACCAACAAGTGACAAGCAATGAAAAAAGGGTTTGGTAATCTTTAAGAGATATTATGCACTATAATAGTCCGCCACTTCATGTATTTCAACCTATAACATTGGATAGAGGTGTCATGGTATAGTGGTTCATTTACTTGACTCTCAATCTAAGGGTTGAGGTCCGAATCACAGGCTGGCACTAATGTCCTTTGGCAAGGCATTAATCAAAATTTGGCACTCGGGACCCAGGTGTAAAACCAACTGCTGGGGTAATGATAATAACGCCACGCACACCATTGATGCTGATGAGGATTCCCAGGGTTAACAAAATTATCATTACTATCGGGTTTAAATGTCTTGCAAATTTTACTCTCGTATTCTCAAATCATCCCCTCACTGAATTTGACATTCTGGGGGTTTGAGAATTCTCTTGCGTCTATTGTTGAAAAAATAAGAAAATTGCGCCATTTTGGCGAACATACATCGCGATGTTTGTCACACAAAATTATTGTGTAAACTAAAAGCGATTGAGCCACCTGGCATAACATGGTATTACTTATAAGTGACCATTCTTACCTCGTCTACATTTATATACATTCCTTGCTGTAGTATTGTATCAATCTCTGCCAATTTCCCAGCTTGCACTGCGGCACAGAGATGCTGCAACATAGAATGATTAGGATGAACATGAATTATGCGGTTTATAGATTAATTAAATATTACAAATTGTTTGAAAGACATTCACCGAATGATTATGACTCGATATCATTTTAATATTGTTACACTTCAAGTCCATCTTCTCAACTTATAATGCCTCCGCCTTAAACTTCTACAATAAATTACGAACTTTGCACAAATATGAAAATGTATTTTTGTTTAGTATATCATTTGCAGAAAACCATATTTCGACTAGCTTGGCGACATTATTAATGGTTGTTCGTTTGTCTCCCATATCTAACAAACATATTATCAAGGTTGGTGGGGGAGAGCATAAATGTAGATCTCTCTATTCGGTAAACCGTTACAGAAACGCAATAAATCATCGTGCACCACATACTTTGTTAACGATTGAAATAATGTTTTTTTCTTCTTTTTTAAAAATATCGTGTGCGCATTGACAGCACTGATGAGTCTCGTCATCCTTCAGCTTTAAAAAAAAGATACTTTTTATAAAATGTAATTTAATGAACATATTTATTTCGTTGCTAACTTTGCTCTGATATTACAAAACAGCATTTTAACAATGGAGATAATATTACAAAGGCCATGATATTAGCACAATGATCAAAATTCATGTTCTACGTTCAAACATGATTGATTAGATTTCGTTATTAGAACATCCATTTAAGAATCCACGATCGAATATATAACTACTTTGTGACCTCGGATTAAGAATGGGATGGTGGATCTATACAGATCCTTCACAAGCCGGTGTTAAAAGCGCTCATCCTTTCATATAACTCCGCCATTTATCTTTATCTGCTTTTGTGGGCATTGTTTACAGACCGGTGTACTCGCTTTGTCGGGACGTAGTGTGGGTATCGATTGCGTCTCGCTTCATTGAAAATGTGTAATATTTTGGCAGACGATTGTGAGGGTATCGTAGTTACTATACGAACATAACTCAATGCATGATTAATTGTGTCTACAGGTCATGTGACGCAGAACTACTGCTAATTGAAACTTCTTTTCAACATTTGACAGGACGGCCTGTCGTCCCAAAACAGATCAAACGGTAGCATAAAGGCTGATGTGCTGCTATATCATTTTTATGTCATGAATGAAACATATAAAGTTTTACAAATAAATTACACATTTAAACAGTTTATGAGAAAACAAAACCTTACCCTTATTTTCTCTTTGCTGTTCTCGTTTTCTGATAACGCCATGGTGTTTTAATCCAGGAAAAATAAATCCAGTAAATCTTCCAGCTAAAGATGAAACTGACAATTCTCCTTTAGTTGAGTTACGTCTTGGCACTTCTCAGTCTGACAGTGTCACATCATAAACCTCAATAAGGCGATGCAATGATCACAACAGTACTACTTAGGCTGACATAGAGTCATCTTGGGACCTGAATTTGAACCCTAGACCTGCAGAAGTAATACTAGAACCAATACCAGACCGGACCAAACTTTTTATTATTTTTACGTTGTGTCGACGAGTGTGAAGGTATATGTAAATGAATTAAGCCTCTATCAAGAGATCTCGCGATGTTCGTTGATGTTCATATCGACCAGAGGCTTGATGACCGTCATATGCTTAGTGATGCGAATATATGATGTTACGTAACACTGCTATCCGTCTCACCTGTACCAATACTGATGAGTATAGAATAATCAAACACTCATCTTCCGATCAAGACCTACAAATCAAGAATAAGTGGTAGAATATTATATTAGCGCCTTTGATTAGGCAACTAGATATTGGCGCTTTAAATACCTGGATTGGATTGGATATTAATGACACATAATCTTAGATCCTCCTCTTTCATTTGAAGCAACTCATAATTATGATGCATATTTCATGCACGAGTGATTGAAAATAATTTGAAGAGAGGAAACCAAAAAGTCATTTGGCGGGCGGTTTCTGAAATTCAAAGAGAAAATCACATTTCTAGAAAGTTCATTTTCTGCCCTTTCATATGACAGCTCAATCAGGAAAACATTACGGAAAACATACGGGAGGTTGTTTCATATTTTTGGTGCTGATATATAGGATTGCAACTATACTCTAAATAAAAATCAACTTAAATTAAGCCCCTCTAAAGTCTTGGGAGCCCCAAACACATTTGTTTTTTAAAATCCTTGCAGAAATATTAAATGACTTCCTCTTTCACATTCTGATACAATATTTTATTTAGGTGAAATTTTGCCATTACATTTCTGGGGCTTCAATATAGACCTGTCCATTACCATTTGAAAACATGCGAATATTACAATGACATGATTGGCATGATTTATATGGGTATTGCTTTTTAATTGATTTTCAAAAGTAGTTGTGATCGTGTTATATATATATATATATATATATATATATATATATATATATATATATGATATAACCCATATCAAATGAAATTCATGCATAAAATAAGATAAGATTCGGTTAATTACTTTATGTTTTAGGTATAAAGGATTAACAGCCTGCAACAATGATGACGAAATAGCAATATAAATGTAAAGGAATTGATATTTTTATGTATTTCATGCATAAAATAAGAAGATTCGGTTAATTACTTTATATTTTAGGTATAAAGGATTAACTATTAACAGCCTGCAACAATGATGACGAAATAGCAATATAAATGTAAAGGTATTGATATTCACAATCCACTATAAATGCAATATATAATTACAAATGTATAATTACAAATTCCATATACGTTTTGATTGGATTTGATTTGATTCGGTTTATTGCAATAAAAGAACATGCAGCTGGGAAGCTGAAACTGTTCAATTTACAAAGTCAATGTACAACACAATAAACGATCAAAGTATGAATGATTAAAACGTACGACTATAAATGCATAATGAAACAAAATGAAAATGAAATATTACATCAAAATCTAAATATATTACAAATATTACATCAAAATCTAAATATATTACAAATATTACATCAAAATCTAAATATATTACAAATATTACATCAAAATCTAAATATATTACAAATATTACATCAAAATCTAAATATAAAAACATTCAAAACATTCATTGATTTCTAAACTACACAAAATGTTGATATCAGACTCCAATTTCCAAAATGTCCAATTGCATGCACTGTCACAGTATACTTACCAAATACGAACAGCCTTACGACTCACCTCCAGCCAGGTGGTATAGATGTCAAATGTAAATGCAAGCACGGTATGACGTTAACAAACCTTCAATTCTGACAACTAACACTGAATCGACCAGATACCGATGCTCTGTCATTCATTATAATATAACCGTCGCATCGCTACAGAGAGATCCTAATTTAATAACGACAGGACTATTATTTGATAATGGCCTTTTGATAAAAGACAGCCCGCGTACACCGAAAAATATAGCCATCAAAGATGCGAGAATACCCGTGTTCGCATATAATATGCACTGAATAATATACGTTCATGGACTGATATAAATACGAAACCACGTCGTGAAATTCTCAACTTTGTTTCCACGAAGGTGAACTCTGGGACCCGTAAGGTTATATGTAAATATAACTTTTGTATTCTCGCATTGCTAGGCTACGATAAACGCTAAAGTACTTCTGTCAACTTTGTTAACTGTGTTGTGTGAATGAGAATAACGAGGGCCTGGCAGTATTATTATCCAGTCGTTATGTTTGCCGAAGTTGAAACCATAAAAGAGCAATTCTTTCTCTTGCTTGAAGAATAACTCTGTGAAGCATTCATTTCTCTACCCTGTATGGAAGCCGTACACGTATGGAATGGATGATTTTGCAGTGATTGAGGAAAATCAAGTACCGTAAATAGATTGTAATGAACCAGTTAAGACTCATGCTCTTTCTTGGTGCATAAATCGACTGAAATAATGCAAACTCCAATATTATTAAGAGGCCTATATAGTTCATTAAACAGTATATGCATGTAATTGAACATCGAAACATTCATTTTTATGTCAAAAACGAAATAAAAGGACAAATTAATGCAAATAGAGAAAAGTCTAATCATTAAAAATGAAACACATAAAGTCAGAATCATACATACAACAAACAAATAAAAGCAGAAAATACAATTTTTTTAAATACACGAAACAAAACACAAAACGAACGAATAAAGATACAAAAACGTTGGCAATTTCTGACACACTATTTTTGCGAATAAACGATGATACCATAAAACTAAAAATTGCATCTGTCATTTTGATAAACGTTGCCAAATTGTGTTTTTTTATCCTCGTTTTAATACTTATAATGACAAATGTTGACAAATGACAACGGATGCCATGACAATTACTTTTCGTCCTCGACCTTATGTTACTCAGTATCAAAACATTAATGCTGTAAAGAAACACATTAATCAAAATCCTTCCATTCTTTGGGCAAAATGATTACTATCATAATTAGCATGACATGTTATATGGCAATTTATTCTATATTAACAAGATTAAGTACTAGAATGTCCACATTCGTATCACCTTTGAACAATTATTGATGGATGCTTTTGCATTGCAAATAAAAGCATTCCACCCATTGCTATTTGGCATACAATCATGTACGTCGGCATGCGTCAGTGTTGCTAGGCCGATTAGTGTCCCGTTATTGTCAAAGCACTTGGTGGTTAATATCGGTATAATATGTACATTTAATTGGGGATTGATCCTTTTCATCACCGTTTTTTCTAAATTATAAGTGCGGGGTACTGCATGAAATGAATTGAGCCGTGGCTTCATTCAAGTCCAAATTATTCCGAGGCAAAATACTTCTGGCGCCTTTAATTGTTACGATGAGTCGATAATTAATAAATGCAGCTCGCATGAAGATATAATTATGGTTAAATACAATCGATATTTTTCTGGTCAGAGCTTTTAATCACGTAATAGCTACCAGCCGCGGCATTGTTGTTTTATTTAATTAATCGAATCTGTGATCGTCAGTTCTGCTTGTATATCAAGTGATCACGGTTAATATGATGACGCTCTCCTGCTGTCGATCGATTCGATATCGATCATGTATTGTGTTGCCGACTTGTCGTCTGATATCAAGGAACTGATGTGAGCGCAACATGTTGACATTTCCAATATATAGATATAGAAACATACATGTTTTACTATAACACATTTTTGGGACATTTTATGAATTCGTTTTCACTGGCTGCCTGCCGTAGCAACAAACAGAGTTGACAAAAGACTTAACTCCGTTTCGTTGACGATCAGCCATGCACGAAGACGACGATGCCTGGCTGATCTCCGAAACGGAGTAAAGTCTTTTGTCAACTCTGTTTGTTGCTGCGGCAGGCAGCCAGTAAAAACGAATTCGTTTTATCAAATTATGGAAATGCAAGCATTACTTTGAACAAACAGAACTTTGTTAGTCCTGGCTCATTTTTCCTGATTGAGGTGTCATATGAAGAGGCAGAAAAATGAACTTTCTAGAAATGTGATTTTCTCTTTGAAATTGAGATACAATCTGCCAAATGACTTTTTGGTATCCTTTCTTCAAATTGATTTTTATGGGACGCACTGTATCTGTACTAAACATGGTGAATTAAAAACTTGATGCCAGTGTCTTTTGACGGAATTGTAAGAGTTTGGTAAACATTAACAGCGTTTATGGAGGTATAACTCTAAAAACGAAGACCATAATTTTTATTAAACATCATTATATCGATAATTAAAAAGTTGTATTCATAAACTTACCTACCAAAATGAAGTTCTATTCGAATGCTCTTGACAGCATTCATGTGATACATCCATGTGGAACACTGTGTCACATTTTAATTTCCAGTTTTATCCCCTTTAACTCGATCTCTGAACTGAACAGAGAGCTTCCTCGTCTGTCTATATGTGCCTATATTTTCATCGTTTGTATGAAAGCCACAGCTAGGTACAAAGATAGCAGTAGCAGTACAAGCTATCAGTAATGTTGATTATGTACATCGAAAAAATGAATCATAATAATGAACCAGTGCAAGAGGGGACCAATTACGATACAAAAGAGGTCTGCTCATCTGGTATTTCTCCGTGCAGCTGGTCAGGATATATTCACAAAGGTTTTATCGCCCCGGTTATCGCCATGAATCATCCAGCAAGTTTTAATATATTCGTATTCCAATGACACCTGCAGAACGGGGAGGGGAGAGGTGAGGGACTGAATTTTGTTCGATGGTATAACATTTTAAACCCGAAATAAACCCCTTTAATTTGTTTGTCAGCAATGTGGACTCTGTGTGGGCTTAAAAGGCTCCCAGAAATATGGAACATGTTTGTTACTTGTCAAAGATTATCAAATATCCCCCCCCCCCAAAAAAAAAAAGAATGTCGACATGTGAAAAGAACCCCTTCTTTTAGAACTTGTCTTTTACTAAGAAATGTTAGAGCTTGGAGTGACCGAAAGCGGAAAAAGGGATCTAGTGTCGTTTCATCTTGTTTGTTTGTATGAACACTGTAAACGTGATCTATATCGTCTCCTGAACATTGATAATTGAAGGGGGTATATAGACTTTGAACATTACGGATTATGTTTACAGATACACATGTATGTATCCGGGCAACTATATATCCCCGGACTATATAGTAACCTATGAACATGGGAGCGAATTTTTCACAGGGATATTTCTTCTCTCTCTCTCTCTACCCCCCCCCCTTTTTTTTGGGGGGGGGGGGGGGCGGTACCCATTTCAATCCAAAAGTCGCCAGACAGCACCCTCAGGAAAACCGCGTGATTTCCTCGTTCGACCCCCCCCCTCCCCCATTTGGAATACCCATTTGGAGAGATATGTTCCAAAAATTAAGGTGATTCAAAATACTAAATGATAGTTATCATTTTTTCCTTAAAGACTCTGTTGTGTCCGGATTTAGGTGTCTGGTGTCATATTTTTGAGGTATAGATCAATCCACCTAGTCCTATATAGATTGACGCTTCTATGTTCTACTCTCTGCTTTCTCAAAACTTAAACTAAATGCAGATCAAGGTCAAAATAAAGACTAATTAACATAATTATATTAAAATTACCTATTGATGTAGCTCTCATGCTCCGAATTAATTGACTGAGTTGTCTCTATATATCGGACAACTTTCCCATTATTTTGTTCATATGCAAACACGCAAAATGTCTAATATTTCAATTTTTCAAAATGGTAAGACTCTCAGGAGTGTCTTTTCACTTTAGAGAACCTAAAATGATATGCTATCAATAAAACATTGTGTAAAGGGCCCCAAGGGAGATGGCACCTAGGAGAAAAACAGAAAATAAATGATATTTGTGTAAACGACAAACGGGAGAGTTTTCCGTGTTTATTTTGCGTCACAGTCCATGGACCAAATTGCCAGCTTGAGATTCACACTTATTTCGTGATCTAATATTTATAAGTTATAACGCTCATAATTCTTAAATTATTGATTTATTCACTTTCACCAATCGGTTTATCTTATCTTTCTGCTTCCATATAAACGAACTAATTAGGCCTACAAGGGTTGGATTGCACTTTAAACATCCTTGAAAATAATTAGGGTTTGGGGTTGGCATGGTAATTGCCACCACTTGAGGTAAATTTCCTTTGTTAACTTTAGTGTGCCACGTACTGCGTTTTATTTTATGCACATATTTGAGTTGAATAATGGGGTTGTTATCATAATGATCATTTTATCAGTCTCAAGGTCTCTACTAAGCAATATCGGACCTGTTGTTATATTAAACACTACTGTGTGGAACCCGACACATATGCTCCGCCGACGATTGCTCCGCCGACATTTACTCCGCAAAACGTGACAATTGCTCCGCGACATTTGCTCCGCGACATTTGCTCCGACGTCAAATGCTCCGCCGACAGTTGCTCCGCCGACAGTTGCTCCGCCGACAGTTGCTCCGCCGACAATTGCTCCGCCGACAGATGCTCCGCCGACAATTGCTCCGCCGACAATTGCTCCGCCGACAATTGCTCCGCCGTCAATTGCTCCGCAAAACGCGACAATTGCTCCGCCGACATTTGCTCCGCCGACATTTGCTCCGCCTGAAGCGACACTTGCTCCGCCGACATTTGCTCCGCCGACATTTGCTCCGCCGACATTTGCTCCGCCTGAAGCGACAATTGCTCCGCCAACATTTGCTCCGCCGACATTTGCTCCGCCGACAATTGCTCCGCCGACAATTGCTCCGCCTGAAGCGACAATTGCTCCGCCGACATTTGCTCCGCCGACATTTGCTCCGCCGACAATTGCTCCGCCGACAATTGCTCCGACGACATTTGCTCCGCCCAAAAAGTGTCCCAAACTACAAATGCTACTAGTACTACAACAAATGCTTCGCCGACAATATTTTTTTTACACGGGTTATTTTCGTTTCTTTTTTTTCTTCTTCATTTTTTGAATGCATTTCATGAAAAAATGTAGATGAAATGAAATGAATGAATGTTGATGAAGTGGGAGGAAAAAGGAGTTACCTAAAAGTCATGTCGAATATACTGAAATAACTTTCCATCTATCACTGTACGTCCCATATAATGTACACTAAACACTCATTACATGTCGTGGGAAGTTTTTAAAAAAAGTAGAGCAGCAAGCCACATTCCCAAATACGCGCATACCTCCTAGTTAATTTCAAACAGCTCATCAATATATGTAAGACCTGAAATAACCTCAATGCAAGCAAGCACATGCATCTTACTAGGTAAACCATCTGCAAGTAAAGCATTATACAATGTACTAGTTCATCATGGAAGTTCTAGAAAACAACAGGGGAGGGATATATTGTTTGCCGAAGTGTGCCGGATATTATTTAAGCTTTCTTAAGGTGCCTGAAAATGTCTGTTCTGGAGATGCCGTTCAGTAATGTTCTCCGGCTTACCAGTTGTTTAATACCTCCATAATAGCCATTTGCAATATCAGTATAATTGTACTTAGTAGTGTGGAGCTGTATAATCCCTTGATGTAGGTATGTTATACGCCAAGAATATGAAGAGTTTTCTTGCAAAAGGACCTAAATCCACTTTAGCTATTTGGGAGTAAATCGAGGTTTTTATTTTAGACATTTTATTTGTTCTTTCACCATAAGTTTTTCTTATATCTTGAAGAGTTACCATAAGATGTAATAATATGACAGTTTGAATATTCTTGCGGTTATTTACCCCCCCCCCCCCCAAAAAAAAAAAAAAAGATTATTTAAAGGGAAAACAAATTATAACCCTTTCAAAATGCAATCATTTTCTTCCTCAGGAATGTTATGAAACACCATACTTGTGAGGTCTTCATGTAAATCAGATCATTATCTAGAAGGTCAAGAGAAAGAAATTGTAGACATATCTCAGAACATTAAAGCAATGTACATATTCCCTCCGAGAGGATATATTACTTGACTGATGATTCACAGCATGATATTCATAGCCAGGAAGCTGGAAATATGTGGGTAATAATCGAGAAAACAAATTACCCAAAACATGTTTTCATTTGTTTTTCTCATCCACCCCGTTTAACGGTGCCTATTAATTTTAAAAGCTTATTTTGCAATCTTTCTATTTTAGAGCAGTTCGACGAATGTACGTTTCCTGTTTGAGCTGTAATTTGTTAGATTGTTATTAAGGATATTTACCATCCAACAATTGATATGTAGGATTGTTTTTATGTTATAATGCTGCCTGTTGCATACCATTTGAGAGAGTTTTGGCAATTGTTCGGTTAACAGGAGTAAGAGAAATGTTGCTTATCCTTTTTGAACATATTTGCAATATCAGCATAGATTCTTTGATATGTTAATTGTATTAATTGTATGGTGCTCAATCCTCTTGTTTTCGAGTTTGGTTTTTAAAAGATTCTTTGATCAATATCTCGGATGTCTGTTCTTTTTGCGTGATGCCTAGTTTTGGAGACAATTCGGAATGACGCATAAATAGGCCTACTTTGTACTTGCATAATAATGCATATCCCAAAACTGGTTAAAAACAACCTTAAGTTTTGGGAAAAGGATTTTTTTGTGTGTTTTCGCATTTTTTCCCCTTCTGAGTTAGGAAGAATGTCATAACTTTTTTAAAGGTTCCCTGAAAGGGGGTTGCTCGTCAAAGGCCTTTATCATGTATATTTAGTAATGTCAAGAAATGGCTGGATTCGGGCTGAACATTCATGCCAGAACAAATTGAGTTTGGTCCCTTGTAGTACTACTCATTTATGCATTCAGCGCAAGTGCCTGAGGCGGACTTTCGTGTGCAAAATTATCGATTCGATAATCCCTAAATCTTGTTTATGTACACCTAATCTAATTTCATAATGCTTTGAAACGGTTTATTTCGAAATGTAATTGGATGACCAGAACTCTAATAAAAATTGATTGGAATTGAGATAAGAAGAAGATAAACCGAGTAGAAAATGATGTGACGGTCATGAAAATTAGGCCTATACAGTTTGTAGAAGAATTAGGTTGAAACAATATGAAGATAATTTTGAAAAAAGTTCTTTCAGGAAATGATAGTAACTTATGATATAACATATCTGCATCATGAAATTGTTTGGTTGAATATGTGATGTAAGTTTTTGTAATTATTATTTGAAACGATAAGAATAAAGAAAATGAATAACACTGTTATTTTATTATCTTTATGGTTTAGTTCTTAGCCTTTCTGCTTATTCCCATTTATACAAATCATTCTGTTGCAGTGTGATGTTAGTTCTTCATAATAAGCAAATTGCTCTTCTTCCGGTGGCTCCGTGAGTCCCTTAAAGTCAGTGAAAACAAAGTACTCGAATGAGACGGGGTGTTTTACACACTAATATATATATATATATATATATATATATATATATATATATATATATATATATATATATATATATATATATATATAATTATAGTAAAGCTACATACACTTAACTGAAGGAAAGAAACCTATAGAAAACGGACTGGATATTATTGAAAATACTATTCTAAACAAGAATGTACTACATTACGTTACAATTTCACGAGAGAAATAGAACTCGAGAGGGGGAGAAGAGAAGAAGTGATGAAATTGAAAAAAGACTAATAGCATGAGAGGAAAGAAAAGAGCCAAGAAGACAAGAAAAGGGTGTAAAAAGGAAAAGGAGGAGCAAGAGAGAAAGAGAGAGAGATAGCCTTGAGCTTTGGATCAGCTAATGAGTAATACATGAAACAGATTTTGAGCGGAGTAATTATCTTTCGCCGGAGAACTTGCATATAAAGGAGCTATAACTTGATTTTCTCTTTTTAATCAAACATGCGGAATAGCAAAAAACGGCTGAGCATTTATTGCATTTACCAGAGGAGCATTCATATCTTCCAAGAGGCCGCACTTTTGGATCGGAGAGCAATTTTATTGTTGGCGGAGCATTGTCTTTTAAGGGGTACTTTTGGGGAGGAGCAACAATTGTCGTAGTAGCCTTTGTATTTTACGGGGCAATTTTTGAGGGGAGCAAATGTCGGCGGAGCAATTGTCGGCGGAGCAATTGTCGGCGGAGCAAATGTCACCGGAGCAATTGTCGCTTCAGGCGGAGCAATTGTCGGCGGAGCAATTGTCGGCGGAGCAAATGTCACCGGAGCAATTGTCGCTTCAGGCGGAGCAATTGTCGGCGGAGCAATTGTCGGCGGAGCAATTGTCGGCGGAGCAAATGTCGGCGGAGCAAATGTCGGCGGAGCAAGTGTCGCTTCAGGCGGAGCAAATGTCGGCGGAGCATCTGTCGGCGGAGCAATTGTCGTGTTTTGCGGAGCAATTGACGGCGGAGCAATTGTCGGCGGAGCAATTGTCGGCGGAGCATCTGTCGGCGGAGCAATTGTCGGCGGAGCAATTGTCGGCGGAGCAACTGTCGGCGGAGCACCTGTCGGCGGAGCATTTGACGTCGGAGCAAATGTCGCGGAGCAAATGTCGCGGAGCAATTGTCGCGTTTTGCGGAGTAAATGTCGGCGGAGCAATCGTCGGCGGAGCATGTGTCATGGAACCAGACTGTGATGGTAATATAAATAGGTCAATTTCCAATAATTATGTTAAGTAATTTTTTTTTCGTCGATCGAGCTATAGCAATAAAAAAAAATATTGAAAGATAGTTAAAGGATTCGACGCTCATGAGTCATAACTGGCCACACTATGTCCATTCTGAAGGAAAAGTGATTATAGCCCCTCCCCCCACCCCCCCCCCCCCAAAAAAAAATGTATAGAGGGGTCTACAAACTTCAAATTGCTCATCTTTTTTTTTTGACCAATGATAGGCCATTTTACTGAAGCTATAGAGTACTCGCTCACGCGTTTTTCTAGAATGATTTATTAATTTATAGGCCTCTGAAGTGGGTGAATATTCGATCTAGACTACTGTATTACAAGAATTAGAAAGAACTGTTGAAAACAGTAAAGTCTGAAGTCGAGACTACATGACGCACGCTTTCCGTGTAGAATTAACAGAATTGATTCTGGCAGCATATTTGGTGAAAAAAAGACGAAAGTGATGACAACCCACGATGGAAGTTCACTTGAAGATGTAAGTTTCAACATTTAAACATTTAGTTTTTGATATGTGCTTGAATAAGACATGTTTCAAGCATTCTCGTCTTCACCTATTTAGTGTACAGTCCCACGCCATAGATTCGCTGTGGTATAAATATAAGTAAAGACGTAACACTAACACAGGAGCTCAGCCGGCGTGTAGTTCCGTATCCATTTTTTTAGCAGTTTTTTTTACCAGTTTAATATCGATTCTTAGCAAAAGAATTTTAGCCCAATTTTTTACTAATTTTAAAGTTAATCATAATCGTATAGATCTATTGCATTTTCCACCTGAATTTGGATCACATCCGACATCGGGAAGCCTCCGTTTAGACTTTAGGGCTTCGATGTCGACGTCGTCGCTCAGTACCGTCTCCGCGCTATAGCTCTGCACCTCAAACTGAAGCTATCGGTCTAAAATTATGCAAACTCCGCGTATGCTTTATGGTATTACGCACATGCACGATACTGTAACGGACACGGTTTGCTACCCCGGCTTACACGGTATTTGTCAGGATGCCCGTGTCTGGCCTGGTGCTCCCCGTCGTTCGTTTGGACAAAGTAGCCCGTAGCTTGATGGCTGGAGTTCTTTCACTGCTCACGTCACAGGGCGTATTAACAATCATGCATCCTTCGACTGCAATCGGTCACCCCAATCGTTGTGCACAGCAACAGTCAATTGAACATCCTTCGAGCAATCAATCAATCAATCACCATGCTTTGTCAACTCCTGTCACTGATTCTCGATCTCAATGTCTAACTACGGTTTCACTGTTCTAAGAAATCAGACCAATCATGAGTTGCATGTTGAATTCTTTTAATGCGAACCAACCAACATTCAGGCATTTCAGGGTTAACTCGTTCAGTAAGTACAGGTGTGGACTAAAAGTAAGACTTCAAGTACAGACTAAGGCCAGCGCCAACTATAAGTAGGCCAGCCTCGGTGAGGCTGGCCCGTATCGGATACAGTGCAGTGGAAAGTCCTAATTACACAATCCTGACTATCCTAAAAATTTCCCTATACATAACCGTATAAAAGAACCATTATGTCCTCGTTAGTAAAACAACACTTCAACACAACATTTCTACTAATCCCATAAAATCTTCACATATAATCTTCAGTATAACCCCTTATTCCTGATTAGATCACTACTATACAAGTAATATCTCCAAAAGAAACATGATAATTGCACCAACATGATCAAAATATGTAATTTATGCTCATTTTCCTTCAGTTTGGTAATTGCTAAATCAACGATGCACCATATTGCTATAGCGCATGCTCGTACAACAGAAAATGCTTAACCTTCGTCCAATACTAAAACACTGATTTGTTACACGATTCCCTTCCCTCCCAAGCTTGGTCCCCAAGCTAACTTATCTCTAACTTATGCAAAAACAACAAATCATAACATGTTATCAAAACAATTCAAAACTAGAATCCAAGTCTTTTCTGACAGTTCAAAATGGCTCTTTTCCAAAAGTGTTCAACAGTTCAAAAGTTCAAATCATGGGTCTTGGGCTACCTCATGCTTCACTGGGCCGCCGACTGACACCTCGTTGATCACCTCGCCAACTGCTACGCCAGTACCTGGTGGATCTTTAGGTAACGCATCACCGGCTAGAGGATCGACATTCGGGAAGCAATCAACAGGCTCTTTGTCTGACTGGACATCGTCTGACAACCCTGTATCTGTGTCGTCAGCTGCTAGGCTGTTGTCCGGTGGGTCTCCAGCTACTTCTTCATCTATTGGGACAGCCTCTGACGGGTCTTTGGTTGCCTCGTCCACTAGTAGAAGGGTATCTGGTGGATCCCCAGCCGTCTCCTCGTCTGGTAGAATGTCATCTACCGTCCCCCCAAGTGCATCAACATTCGTCAAATCCTCATCTGGTGGAATGGTAACTGAACCACCAACGTCTTGTTCAGGGTGCTTAGTCGCCACCCCACCGCCTCCAGCTGGATTATGAGGACAGTTCTGAAAGAAATGCCCAGCTTCATTGCACTGGTGACAACGTCTGGTCTCTGCTTCCTTCATTTCTGGACGGTCATGTGCGTACAGCATCTTTGGATGAGGACAATTCCAAGAAAAATGTCCTTGTTGGCCACAATCATCACAAGGCCCGTCCTGATGTCTTCCCCGGGAGTGTGGCCCTGTATTGCCATACTGCGACGTACTTCCTACTTGGCGGGTCAGTGCTTCCAATCTGGCTGTAAGATCAGTTAGCGCCTTCTCCATCTTCTTCACCATTTTGGATGTATAAGGGCTATCAGGGTGCTGAGGTCGACCGCTACCTGTCAGAGCACGGCTGTGGCTGTGACGGTGAGAGTACCACAATTCTCCCTTCTCTGCTTCCATCTGAAGAAAAGCCTCCATGTTCAGAGCTGCTTCAATAGCCTCATCCAGGGTATGTGGATGAGCCCGAAACAAACCTTCTCGGATGGCTGGATTCATTATTGCGTCAAGAAAGTGACCCCGAGCCAGCTCATCCTGTCCATCGGCACCAAACTCCTGGTAAGCCATTGCTGCCATGTATCTGATACTTTGGCCCAATTCCCGAAGGGTCTCGTTCGGCTTCCTTCGTCGGGAACGTAGTTCTGCCAAGAATACATCAGCTTTTCCTGAAGGTCCGAAGTGATGTTTGAGCCTGCTGGTCAATGCACTGTACGTCAGTTCTGCCTCACCATTCTTCCCCAGGAGCCTCAACGCTGGCCCACGTAGACTGGCTGCTAGATAATGCGTTGCCTTCCTCTCCGTCCAATTGTTGATGATTGCGCATGCTTCGAAATGCTCCAAGTAGTCCAGTATGGGAATTTCCCCGTCAAACCAGTCTGGCAGCATGTTTGGTTCATTATACGACTCCATTGTCGTTCCGCAATTCCGTCAGCTCGACCGGCTGCAACACCGTCAATGCTACCTCCCGTCGTCCCCAAGCTCCGTCAGCTCGACCAGCTGTGACGCAGTCAGTCTTACTGCCCGTTGTCCCCAAGCTCCGTCAGCTCGACCAGCTGTGACGCCGTCAGTCTCACTGCACGTCGCCCCCAAGCTTTATCAGCTCGACCAGCTGTGACGCCGTCCGACCTACTGCCCTTCGTCGTCCCCCAGCTCCGTCAGCTCTACCAGCTTGTGACGCCGTCAGGCCTTCTGCCCGTCGTCCCCCAGCTCCGTCAGCTCTACCAGCTTGTGACACCGTCAGACCTACTGCCCGTCGTCACCCAGCTCAACCAGTGCTACTGCCGTCGTCCCCCAGCTCCGTCAGCTCGACCACTCCACGCCATCAGCAATCCCACTTCTGACACCATGTGTAACGGACACGGTTTGCTACCCCGGCTTACACGGTATTTGTCAGGATGCCCGTGTCTGGCCTGGTGCTCCCCGTCGTTCGTTTGGACAAAGTATATGCCCGTAGCTTGATGGCTGGAGTTCTTTCACTGCTCACGTCACAGGGCGTATTAACAATCATGCATCCTTCGACTGCAATCGGTCACCCCAATCGTTGTGCACAGCAACAGTCAATTGAACATCCTTCGAGCAATCAATCAATCAATCACCATGCTTTGTCAACTCCTGTCACTGATTCTCGATCTCAATGTCTAACTACGGTTTCACTGTTCTAAGAAATCAGACCAATCATGAGTTGCATGTTGAATTCTTTTAATGCGAACCAACCAACATTCAGGGTTAACTCGTTCAGTAAGTACAGGTGTGGACTAAAAGTAAGACTTCAAGTACAGACTAAGGCCAGCGCCAACTATAAGTAGGCCAGCCTCGGTGAGGCTGGCCCGTATCGGATACAGTGCAGTGGAAAGTCCTAATTACACAATCCTGACTATCCTAAAAATTTCCCTATACATAACCGTATAAAAGAACCATTATGTCCTCGTTAGTAAAACAACACTTCAACACAACATTTCTACTAATCCCATAAAATCTTCACATATAATCTTCAGTATAACCCCTTATTCCTGATTAGATCACTACTATACAAGTAATATCTCCAAAAGAAACATGATAATTGCACCAACATGATCAAAATATGTAATTTATGCTCATTTTCCTTCAGTTTGGTAATTGCTAAATCAACGATGCACCATATTGCTATAGCGCATGCTCGTACAACAGAAAATGCTTAACCTTCGTCCAACACTAAAACACTGATTTGTTACAATACCATAAACTATACGAGAAGCTTGCATAATTTTAGACTGATGGCTTCAGTTTGAGTTGCAAAGCTATAGCGCGGAGACGGTACTGAGCGACTGAGCGACTGTACTAAACGGAGGCTTACCGATGTCGGATGTGATCCAAATTCAGGTGGAAAATGCAATATATGATTATGATTAAAATTAGTAAAAAATTGGGCTAAAATTCTTTTGCTAAGAATGGATATGAAACTGCTAAAAAAATGGATATGGAACTACACTAGCGCCGCTCAGCCGCCGCGTCCGCGTCCGCACTGCACTGGGAGGTGGCGACCCAGGAGCGAGCGTCTGGCTGTTCACATGTAAAGGTTACCAACGCGCTAGTTAGTATGTATTACTCATATGCATTTACATCTTTTCCTGTGAGACTTTCTACAAAAGGAATAATTGTGGCGGTGAAATACAAAGAAGAAAAAGAAGAGGAAGTTGTGGCAGAAGAAGGACTCAGAGTCACATTGACATGCATGATTGAAGAACTTAGAAGTAGATATTCAAGAAGATGAAGAATAAAAAGAACTTAAACTAAGAAGTAGAAGTAGAAGAAGAAGGACTTGTTGAACTTAAAGAAATTCAAGAAGGAGAAGAAGAAGAAGACACAATGAGATAGGAAGAAGATGAAACAACAATGGCATGGCAATGGGATCAATTAAGAAGAACCCAAGAAGAATTCAAGAAGAGGAAGATTTAACAACATCTTATTAACAATTTTTTCTTTGACACACCGATTATGGCTCCTTTGAAGTTTGAGTCAAACATTAATGTTCACCTTTTTACTCAATAGATGATCTTTTAAAAATATAACTTGTCTGTTTGGTTTGTGGATGACTACTTTGATAAAAGATGCAGTGTAAGCCTATAGCAGGGCTTAAATTAATCCAAGGCCACCAAGGCCATGGCCGTGGATGCCCCTTTGATTGGCCTCAATGCCCCTCTCATTGGCCTTGGAGATTTTGTCTGTCCTTTCCAATTCTTCCTATTTGTGCTGTAATATAGGTGCCCTACAGAAAAGTGTCCTTGCCCTAAAAATATTGAAATTTAAGGCCTGCTATAGTCTATACTATAGCTCATGTCAGCCATTGAGCAATGTATTAGACCAACTGATAAGTTGAAGACTCACTTGTGTGTGAGTAAGTTCAGTTCCAACCTCTAAATAGAACTCACAAAGCAAAGGAAACCTTTTCTTTCCAATGTGTTTATAAGCATATTAATGGATATCTTAAAAGAAAGTAACAAAAGTGAGCATCAACATTACCATTGACATTTGTGTGACTGAAATGCTCTTTTATTTTTCATACAGGTACCAGAAGCAGACTTGCTCAAGTTCAAGACGCTTCTCAAAGGCCTTGTAGAACAAGTAAGTATCAGCAGAACTAGAGGCCCGAATTCACAAAGGAGCTTTGTCAACAAATCTAGGTTTATGTGCATCACATGACACGTTTTTATACGTTTTTACAGACCAAGGTTTGTAAAATCGCGTCGAAACGCATCATATGACGCACATAAACCTAGGTTTGTCAACAAACCTCCTTTGTGAATTCAGGCCATAGTGTTCAGACTCTTTTACAATGACCAGGGGGCCGGGGCCAAATAGTCAAGCAGTCATAAAAGTCTGGAACTACTGTGTGACCGCATATTTGTTTAGAAAATAAGTCAGATGCTAGATCAGATATCAAAGACTCTGATGCTTCTTAGGCATTAATTCTAACTAGCGAAACAACCCAGTTAATACACTAGAAGCAGATAAAGACATGTAACAAAGTTCACAAAAATCATTGACAAAATACACATATTATAAGATTGTAAATGGATATATACCGATAGTATCCCACATTAGAGCCTTCCTGATGCCTTGTGATATATACAGAGCTGTGGAATAAATGAGAAACTGTCTACTAGTGTGTGTAATGTGTTTTGCTCCATAACGCATTACTGAATGTCTTCAATTGAGTAAACTAGGAGTGTGATCACTTTATTATTATCTTTACAAGAAGATGCACTTTTAAAACAAGATGATTATTCCCATCTTTAATGTAATTTTCAATTCATTAACAGGTGTCTGGAGTAACTAAATCAGTGAAAGGGCTTCAGAAGAAAGTGGAAGGTGGAGAGACTTCCACAGCTAAGGGGGTCAGCTTCTTAGAGGTCAAGCATCACTTGTTATTGAGGTGAGTTAGACTGCAGAATGATGGGTTCATGTGAAAATGATTAAAGCCCGTCTGCACTAGTTTGGCCAGGGGGAATTGGACCTCCCTGCAAGGTCACTGACAGGTGGTTATCTCGTCAAATAAGCTCTCAATTAACATAAGAAAAAGGGGATCATGGGAGACAAACAGGCACCTATTAGGCATCGTTTGCTATATAGAGGGCGCAAGTAGTTATAAGTAGTGCAGTGGGGCTTAAGACATGTAATCTCAATTGTAATATGAGCGTAGAGGGGGTCAAATTCATCCAAGCAATAATGTTCTTGGGGAGCACATTCATCCACATATGCCACTTTCCACTGGGATGTAAATGGGAGCCTGGGGTAATGAGAATCACAGGGCTCTCATGAAGAACAGCACTTATCCTGATTAAACAAAATCATTTTTGTTATTTCTTATGTGTGTTTGCTGAGAAATGATCTTGAGGATTACTTTTATAATGTCCCAGATTTTTTATTAAAAGCTACGTTTGAGATATATACTTTGTTATCAATTCTGATCAAACAGCTATGTCATGGACCTGACCTACATCATGCTACAAAAGGTCAAAGGTCAATCCATCAATGGTGACCCTGCTGTACTGCGTCTGGCTGAGAACCGCACCGTGCTGGAGAAAATGAGACCGATCGACCAGAAGCTGACTTATCAGATTGACAAACTCATCAAGACGGCCACCACGGGTGTACCGGCTGCTAATGATCCTTTACGCTTCAAACCAAATCCTGATGGACTCGTCAGCAAGGTAAGGGAAGTTTGATTTGCCTGCGCTTTTGAGAAAAGTTGCTCTTGACCATCTCAAAAGCTAGTCTAACTTAGCAACATCTACTGTAAGACCAGAAAGTTTAGCAACATGAAACTTTCACTAATCTGACCCACTTAGCAAAAATTACTTACACACACAAATATCTGGTTTTATAGTGATGCATGCAAAATGTTGTGAATCGAAATGATTGATGTATTTTGAACAACTAAATGAAACCTGTGAAAGAGACATACGTGTCTTTATTTTTATTCAGTTGCTGTGTAGAGCTTCTTCAAAAGGCTTCTTTCAGCTAAAAATGTTAGTTACCAGTATAGCATTACCAGTATAGCATTGTATCCCCTCTTGAAGTAAGGAATACAGTGTTAGAAATGGATTCTTAGAGCAAGTGTCACTAGATCATATGTTTCACCTTGTAGATTCACCTGGTGATGAACCACTACTTGTGAATATGGTTTAAATCCTGTGTGTATGAATGATTTTTGTTTGTTTCTTTTAATTCTCAGCTGCAAGATGAGCAAGGAGAGGAGAATAGTGATGAAGATGAAGAGGTGAAGGTGGAGAAGCCAAAGAAATATGTTCCACCCAAAGTAGCTGCTATGTTCTATGGTAGGTTCATTAGCCTGTTTATTAGGATTACTAGGGAGTGAAAATAATTTAAAAAAATAAAATAATGATTATTTGCTATTCTTGTTTAGCACATATCACATTATGCTATAACATATCTTTGCGCTGCCAAAGGACTTTAGATATTATTACCCCTTAGCTCTGACAATCGTAGCTCTCAGTACATTCAAGGAATGAATCCTACCAGTTACCTACTTACTACACCTGTGTCAAGTGTGGCAGTAGTAGATGAATGTATTGCCAAAGGACGTCAGTGCTGCGGCAAGATTCAAGCCCTGTACCTTGTGGTTCACAGTCCAGAGCGAAACTTATCCACTAACCCACAACACTTCTCCATGTTTTTTTTCAATTTTATGATTGAATAATTTCTTGTAAATTTTGTAATGATGAACTTTGTTCAGAGTTCAGACCCCTTTATATTTTATCCTCAAGAAGGCTTTATTAATTATTTTCAGAAGATATTTTTCTTAAAACCAAGATCATATAATTCTAATTCTTCATGATGAAGAGAAGGTATATATCAATGCTAGAAATTTCAGCCTTCTACTTTTATGATAGACATCACTTAAGGTCAGGTGGGTTGCAATTGCATTTAATGATAAGTCTTGAATCAGTATTCCTTGACTCATATTTGCTATCTGTTTCTTTTTCTGTATTTTTAACCCTGACACAGAGTGTTACCTTAATCTTTTTATGGTACTAGACGACAAATGGATCTTCATTCTGATACAAACTTTCAAGTAATCGATCCTGAAATTTGAGACATTTTAAATCTTTAGTGTGGTTTTCATCGAGCCCAATACTTGCATGTAACTTCTGCTGGAATGATGCTGCAAGAACTTTAAAAAGAGGACATATTAATATGAACATTTCTCCACCTTTGTCACAGATGGAGATGATACGCTGAAGGAGAAGAAGGAACGTCAACTAGAGAAGGCCAAGAAGAGAGCCCTCAGTAGTCAAATGATCAGAGAACTCCGAGGTAAGTATCATCTGGGCCTCGTTTCACAAAACTTGTCATCAGTGACAATTGAAATTTTTTGTGAAAAGCTACTGATATCCTTGCTTCTGATTGGTTATCAAGAGATTTATCACTGATTTTTGTCATTTGTCATTGAAAAAAGGCTTTGTGAAATGGGCCCAAGATCTTGTCGGGTGTAGGCTGAGAGGGCGCTGTTCATTATGTAGATGCAGAGCCATCTATAGTACACAGAGTTTGGCCAACTTGGTTTCACTGGGTCACAACATAGCGTATATTCTTTTCTTTGTGCTTGCCCAACAAAGCAGTAGTTGCCATATTGTGTCCGAACTCTGTGTATAGATGGCTCTGTGTAGGTGACTCTCCTGCCAGCAACAAAGTATTTGTTACTATGCCTTGCAAGTTCATTTTATACAAACCATTTTAGTTAACCTTATTTTTCATTTTTTGGTTTGTAGGTGAAATTTAGTTATCTAAAACAAAAGGAAGAATGCCTTGCAAGTTCATTTTATACAAACCATTTTTAATCAATTTGTTTTTACTTTTTGTTTGTAGGTGAAATTTAGTTATTAGAAAAAAAGTAGTAGAACAGTCTCTCATCTTTTCTCTTTTATTGACTTTCACTTCAATTTTTTAGGAATGGTGCATGAGAAATTCACTCTCTTAAAAACAGTAGCAGATTTGTCTCACAGTATATTCGTTGTCAAAGTTATACTTGTCTCCTCACCTCCACTCACCACTGGAAACCTGAAGGAATTTGTAATTTTAATTTGCCCATTCAGGGCAAGTAGTTGTAATACTTATGTATTATTTGCTTGCCCACCACTATATACACATATTGTGCCTCTGGGAAACGGATGAGAACTATGTTTGAGACCACAAAATATGATTAATTTATCGCATAAACTTTGCTTGATTTTCAATTTGTGAAATGAAGTTCAATTTTGACGTGAACCAAAAATTATATACATTTTACATTTGTTCTTCCTTTCTATGTAGCCGAGTACTATGACGGACCTGAAGAAGTCCAGGTACGTAAATGATTAAAACTGTTCAGAATTAGTGTGTGATGTTCTATTAGATTTAATCTTATTCATATCAATATCACTAGCATATTTAGTTTTTACCAAAAATATGATGTGTAACAAAGTTTGAAATTGTACATGTCCCAACAAATTAAGTTTGCCAACATTTTTTGAAGAACCCTATCCCTCACCCTTCAAATTATGTTAGCTGATGGGCAATAATGTGACTTTTTCATCAAGCAAAAAAAAGGGGATTAAAAAGGAATTTAGACTTTTAAATTTACAGACAGATTAAACGAGCTGATCAAATTATATGACAGTATTAACTAATTTGATAACGAACATTTTAAAGGGGGGGGGGGGGGGGTGGTAGTAAACTTATTAAACAGTTCATAAACAAATTGCAAATTCTGTTGTTGTTATTTCAATAGCAAATATTGTTATTTTCATTACATTGTACAGGAATCTATGAGTCTTCACAGGCTAAAGGAAGATAAAGAAACCAAAGAAAAGAATGAGTAAGTGTGGGAAGAGAATTGCTATACTTTAAATATTTGGACATTTTAATAATGTTCTCTAGTATAGTTTTATAACAAGGATTTTTTTAAAGAATATTGGATTGTTGCCCCTTGATTGGAGGTCAAAAGGGAAAGGATTTGTATTACCGCTTGTAATGGTCAGCTGGTGAGATTGAGGTTAAAGGTCAGAGATTACAGTGCTGTGATAAAATTGTTTCACCATGCAAGCCGATACTTACAAGCCGATACTTACAAGCAGCATCTAAAATTGTTTCTGTTGCTATTTTAGATAATTTCAAAATTTGCTTAAAGTGTTTTTAAGTGTTTAATTATGATCATGCAAAATAAACTGAATTTATTTTGAGGAGTCAACACATACATGTATATGGAAGCTGATTGATAATATTAATGGTTTGTGAATGTCTTTTCCCTTATATTTCAGTTATGAAGAAGAGAATTTCTTGAGACTTCCTGTAACCAAGAAAGACAAGGTATGAAATCGGCATGCAGGAAGACCTGTCTCATATCATCTCTATCATCGTCAGCGATACTCCAATTCCCCTTTCTGGTCATTCCCCTAACTATGCTATTGTAGCAGAGTTTAAAAAAAAAAAAAAAACATTTTTTTTCCACATTTTAATGGCAGTTACTCCTATAGTCATCAACGAATTAAAGTATGACAATTTGTCAGACTATATGATTAAAGGTGCATGGAAAATTTGTAGATAAACCAAAGATAGGCCTACCTTTAATTTTGAAATGATAAGATAACATTTGAATTTTTTTGAGGTGATACATCGTGCTCTACAGATTGTAATAACAGTAGGATAAAATAATGTTGAAAATTAAATCAGCTTGGGAGTTTTATTCCATGGAAAGTTTCAAAAGAGCTCTGAATCAGTATGGTGAGTGCTTTAGCTCTGCAAGCTCTAATGGTACCCCCCCCCAAAAAAAAAAAAACTTAAATATCATTGTGATTAAATAGCTCATGTACAACACCGAATCCTAAAAAGAGCCCCTGCAAACATAAAGTTATTTTTTACACTAAACGCCATACAATCATCACTCCCTGTATAGTCTTGCTTCCCATATCATTTTGAACTGATTTTTTTTTAAACGTGTAATTTAAGAGTTCATACAACAATAGAACAATTTCCCAGATTTAGGGATCATTCTAGGAATCTTTGTAAACAAATCAGAGGTTCATTTCAGTTCCCTTTAGTGTCTAGTTATAACCTTTGAACCCTTATTGATTGAGGGGGAAAAGAAAATGTTTTTGATTACAGCTTGTAAAGATCTGACGTGATTGAAGTTATAGGTCAGAGATGATCTCTAAAAACTTAAAAACTTGTCTTAAAACATTTGTTTTTAGAAACAATTTCCAATTGTAACTAATGACTTAAGGAATTATGCTGAGTGTATATCAATCTTCTCTATATTACAGCACATAGGGACATAAACTTTGTGTTATGTGCTATATAAGTACAGGTATGGCAAATTATTATTATTATCATTCTACTTGTTTCTGGTACAGCAAAGAGAGCGTAATTTGACCACCATGGCCAGTCTGGATGGTTTGACGAGGTTTGATAACATCAGTGCCCTCGATAGAAACTTTGATGGTGACACGGAAGGACCGCCAAGAAAGAAGTAAGATATTTTGAAAGAAAAATGAAAAGCTTTTGGACCAGTCCTATAAATTTTTCCCACTTCAAATAAAAACTGCATTTTTGCATTCCATGATTTTCTCTTTCTTCTTGAAATGTCTTTGAGCTGCCCGGGACTACTTTTCATCTTATTTATAGTTTCACCAGATCTGTAGCGTCAATTAGAATGAAACAATTAAAATGAAATTGGTTATCTGGAACAGCAAGATGTCAATAACTTCACAAAAACTTTTGTTCATCATCATTTATTAATTGAATACTACGTACATGAGAAACACCTAATTACATGTATATTGTTTACAAAGAAAAACACATGAATTATAATTATATCACAAAATTAATTAAACTTTGAAGAAAAAAAAACATAATTTACAAAAACTTTATGATAATACTCATATAGGACTTTGTGTTTCATTGATGTACAATAATATTATAGCAAACGTTTCTTGTCTTTAAGTGCTCATATTCCACTTACGATACATTTTATAACAAATCTTGTTCCAGATAATTATCATTAATTTGTCAGTTTTAACATTCTGAATAAATCTTGTGGGATTACGTGAGAATTAAGGTTAGTCATTACTAGGTAGTGAAGTAATATTAAGTGTGATATTGAAGGAAAATATAATTTTTTGCATTTCCCTGCACCAGGATATAGGTGATTATCAATCAGAAATTTTATGAGTATTTAAATTCCAGAGATGTGCCTGTTCGAAAGAAGAAAAAGATTACACACTCAGCATATCAGTCATGTGTGATATTATATAGATCTGCAAAAGTCTTAGATATATTTAAAATGGATGCAATTTTACTGGATGGTATTTTTAATTTGATGATTTATGTTTCTTGTTTATTTTCATTCCATCCTACTTCCTTTACCAGGGGAAAAGTATCAAGCAAGGTAAGATATTGTATTTTAATGTAGATGATACTCAAGAAGCATGCATGGTTATTCTTCAATTTGTGTTAGGCCAAAAAAAAGAAGATGTTGTATTGCCCTTTGCGACCAACCCCAAAATCTCTGGTCGGCTTTTTAATAATTTTTTTTTTTTTTTACCGGTTTTTAGAAAAAAATGTTTAATTAATGTTTGATTAATTGGGATATGAATGCTTAAAAATCATCAAATTATTCCCAAAATCTCACTTGTCTTCTGCCCTAGTTTCAAAATCCTGCTAGCATAAACAAGTAGACCCCTGCCTCGTGTTCATGTACCATGCAATACACCAGCTAGAAACCAGCGAAATTTCGGTGACGTTCACGGTTTTGAGTCTTTTGGGGTGATGGTTGCTGTTTTGAGGGGAAAAAAGTTTTTAAACAAAATAAAAAGGTATCAACCGACCCAGTTTCTGTCACCTAAAGGGCACTACAACATCTTTTTATTTTTAGGCCTTATAAAAACACCTTGAAGTTCGACACTACTATATGATAACAAAAACAAAGGAACTTTGTGTCGATAAATGTCTTTTGTTTTTATGATTAAGATATGTCACAATTGATATTTTTAGAGAATTATTTCTGTATTTAACCTCCACAGTATAGTTTGATTGTTTCAAGAATTTTTTTGACAGTTCCAAAGTTGGTAATGGCCACTTCCAAGCCTTCTTTGTCCCTGCTTTTCTGGTTTTGTCTTTCAGCCATATTTCATCTCTCTATTTGTCTGATATCATCCCCATCTCTAAAACTAATATTTTGATTTTTATTCTCTAATTTTCAGCTTCGAAAGGCCAACAAGAGGAAATCTTTGAAAGCACTGAAGAGGAGACGGAAGAAATTCTGAGCTGTTTTCTTGGTTGTCGTGGCATATCCATTTTTATCACCATTTAAAATTATTTGTGGTTTGTCCATTACGTGCTGGGTGAAGAATGATTCCTTTTTTATTTTTAATCAACAAATTTCAGTAAAAATAATTAATGATCAAAGTGTAAATTTTAATTGAATTTGATAATTAAAGTGTTAATTAATGAAAATTAATGAATTAAAAAACTTAATTTTTAATTAACACCAACTTTGTGAATAAGAGTCATATTTACATTTTTTATGACTAGTAAACCAAATAAGTCAATGCATTGATAAGCTAGGTGAAAAATTCTACACTTAATTCATAAGCTTGTGAAACTGAAAGACAACTAAATACTTGTCTGACTAATCTGTAATGTAGCAAGATTTCTGAAGGGTCAACCATGAGAATTGAAGTACACATTCTTCCTTCTTCTGGTAATCTTCAAAGGGCTATATCGGCCTATCATGAAGTTTGCAAACTGTGTGAGGAAGACAAATTATTTTTAAGGGGATAAGGGGCATTGGATGTCTCAGAAGTTGACCTTGGAAGTTCTCTGGATTGTCAGCGTGCACTAAAGTTGCTACTAAGAACTATCATATAATAAAATCATAGTTTATTTTAAACCATCTTCTGTATCTTCTTCTTCTTCTGTAATTTTTGCCTTGAATTTCCTGCTACAGAGTGTGAACTGCGTATCTGGTTCATGGATCCAAATAAAAGGCCTTTTTTGTTTGTACAAGGATAATTGTGAGTGCTGTTAGAACTGTGTCGCAGGATGTTTTCAAGTCAATAATACAAATATATATTTTAAGCAAAATAATTTATTGCTCGTTTATTGCTTGAATATTTTTTTTCAGTTCAAACTCTGGCACTGTTTACAAATCAATCAACAATACATTGTACTGCACCCTCTTACCTAACGAACATTATTTTTCCTTTTCATCTCTTAAAGTAATCTTTGTTCCATAAATGATGCTTCTAGATTTGTAATTCATATATCAACTACAGGGTACATGTATTTCTTCTACCGATACACAATTTAGTTCAACTGCTTCTAAAATCTGGAATAATATAGCATACTCTAATCGAACGAAAATCTGTCAACATTAAAAAAACAATTGGAGAACTATCTTTTTTTCTACAGAGCTAGTCTTTGTGTCTTTTACCTATCTTTTTTTTTTTTTACATTGTAAGCACTTCAGACTTCTTTAAGTGTATAGCGGAGGATAAATGATCATTATTATTATTGTACAGTAGGGGTCATAACATACATAAAGTATTCAGACTCTTCAATGGAATGAAATTAAAAAAAAAAATTATAAATGCTTTCTTTTCCAACATTGTGAAAATTGGACAGGAAATGAGCAAACAAAAGACATACATCAATTCATGTATAAATATATACTTTATTTCCAAATCAGCATGGAGAGAAATAAATATCTTTACCTTAATATATACAGTGTATATACACATCTCAAAGGGCAACATGCCATTGAAAACGATGATTGTACACACATTGCACATGTAGAGGAAATATTTCAACATATGATTATTTCAAAATATCATGATTATCCTAAAAATAAATATATAATATATAAATAATTAAATAAATATTAAATAAAATAATTTACAGTATATTCAGATAAATAACATTCAGACGTGTGTGGGTGCAAGATCACATTTTCTGCTGAGAAACAGAAGGGTGTTAATAACTTGGTCCCAAGATATTATTAGTCAATGCCCTTCTGGCTCTCAGCAGACAATGTGTTCAGACAGTTTAAATGCAGTATTAACTTGCTACGTGTAATTACATCATGATTCTAACACATTAGATGTGACAGGCAAGTTCCCATCACACTGACAAATAAAAATATAAAAAATAGGGAAGATTATACTTTGATGGACAGTGAAATAATATCTCACGGCATGCAGGTATTGGCACGAAGAAAATATATTAAGATAATCTTGATCCATCATAAAAAAAAAGAGTAAAACTGCTTTGCATGATTAATTGGCAACAATTCAAGTGATTTTCATGTGAGGCATCATTGAAATAAAATCATGTCAAGGAAATTACACATTGGTGAGAAGGTATTAGGGAAAGTTTAAAAAAAAATTGTCTAACATCTTCGCCCACTTCCTCTGTGAAAGTCATTTATTTATGTATTTATATATATATATATATATTTTTTTTTTTTTTTTGGGGGGGGGGGGGGGTTGTATATTCTTGCGTAGCAACATCGCTCTGGCGTTATTTCCTGTTGATCTAGCCTATAAAAAGTAAGCATGTCATTCCCTGAGTCAAGTTGGCTCCATGTCTCTAAACCTTCTTGAAACAGTCTGTATTCTAAGCCAGGTTGCCTCAAAAAGTGTACTAAATCCCAATGAAGAGCTTTCCTCCTTTGTTTTTCCTAAACAGGGCAAGCCAGGTGGTAAAAATAGATATATTTTGTTTATATTGTCCTACATTACAGACTTCAGATGTTGTTTGAAGCTGCATCAACTTTTTTTCTCTTTAACGCATCTATATTCTTTGATGAATTTTCATAATGAATTCCAATGACCTTTATTAAGGAGAGAGAGAGGAATGTTAATGAGAGCTTCTTGTTGGGTCATCAAAGGGTGTCTTACATTTTCAATGTGTTTATTATACAGGATAGAAATACAAACATATGCCACAGATCTACTAAAAACAATAGATCTTGGAATGACATTTACTAACTGTAACAACAATAAAAAGGAATGTATTCCCACTGAGCAAATGGAATGTAGTTGCAATTGGTAACAAGCAGGAATGCACACCTGTGCAGTTATTAAAAATATGAATTACACATTCACAAAGTTGATTAAATGTTGAGTTGTTGTTTTGAGTGAGTAACCTCTAATGAAAAATGGAGTTGCAGGCAAATAAGTAGTCATTGACATGTTTAAATCATTAACATTCATAAACTTTAAAAAAAAAAAAAATTCTTGATTACTATATACTAGTAATCATCAAGAATTTTTGATTTTCTCCATAGAACCTATAGTGTACGTAGTTTATAACCCGAGACGAATGTATCTTTATATACCTTAATTTCCGTCCTAATATTTTTGCAACACCCATATTCTGGGCACCACAGACTACTATAATAATAATATGTCTTGTTTACCCAGGGTAGCCTCATCAGTATTCATACTGTCCTCCCTGAGGGCCCTGCAATCATATTATTACCCCGGTCATCGGATTCAGGCTTACCCGCACACAATGTATGCACATTCTCCACTCCCTGGGGAGCATTCCAGCCAGTGCATCATTTTTACAAGCACACACTTGCTAATCTAAGCACATTGGCTTTCGCATCCTACCGGGTACCCATTTAACATCTGGGTGGAGAAAGGAAATCATTACAGCATAATAAAGAAAGTTTCAAACATCATAAGGCACGGTGACTTGGACATATTTATTCCAAGCCAATCGCCATAAACAATACTATTATCACACATACGTATATGGCATAAATTTGAATATCACTAGCTGTCACAATTAAGCGTACATGATCATTCGTAATTCAGCTCTTGAGCTGCAATGATGATTGATTATTGAATAAACACATGTACCATTATTATTATAATGTAAAGGTAATGAAAGCTTGAGCAACTACAAATGCTTGCAATTGCATTTTTTCATTGTGGTATTTGATTCCGCAATAATTCCACTAATAATTGCCAAAATGTAGACCGACTATGATAAAATATACTTGACTATAAAGGGCATATATATATATATATATATATATACATTCATGGAAAGACAACAGAGGCTCATGATGAAAGTTGAGAGTGTGCACACATGGGTGCCTGTGCACTCAGGAACACAATTCAATGTAGCTATAAATGATACAGTGGGGTTCTTTTCTTGCACTAGAATTTCCGATAAATGAAGCTTTGTTTACTTTCTTTTGCTGTCCATAAAGTGTGCAACACACATGTTTCAAAATAAGGTTTATTACAAAAAATTCCACAGAACAACTAAGACAGGGAATTTTATGAAGCAAAGATCCCTTCAGGAACCAAGTCCACTTGGAGGTCAACAGACTTTCCGACCTTGACATTACTGAAGTCAAGGGCACCTTCCGTGTACGACGCTGGTGATCTGTTCATGTACTGCGATGCTCCACCAGACGCCTCAAAAGCGGTGTCTGTGCACACCAACACGGAATCAAATTCGGAAGATAAATCTGCAACAGTTCTGGATCTGTCTTTGTTACTGGCATGAGATGTCATATAGCCATATGGATCTCCTACAACGGTGGGCTGACTTGCAACATCCTGTGCTTGATCCGTTGCAGACTTTATAGGAGTCATGGGACTCTCTTCTTCTTCCTAAGAGCAAATGACAGAGAAAATGTTAAATGTGAACTAGATGGAACTCCGATTTCGCGCAGTCGAAAATGATGCCTCAGCAATAGAGCAATTTTACAAACCAAAACAGAAGGAATTTATAAAATTCAAGTTTGATTGTAATCCATTAACAGGTTCTCAGAATATTGTGATTACAAGCTATTTTCATATACATGTATGACCCTTTTATCTTTGACCTCATGATCCTAAAATAAATCAGTTCATTGGCTCTAATAATAATGCGATCACAAGCTATTTTTATGCCTCCGCCACCGAAGGTGGTGCCGGAGGCATCATGTTTTCGGGTTGTCCGTCCGTACGTCCGTACGTCCGTCCCGTTTGACCGTTATCGCAATATCTCAAGAACCATTTAAGATTTAAACTTAAGACTCGGGAATAGTATTTATCACCATAGGAAGACGATCTGATTAGATTTTGGAGTACGTAGGTCAAAGGTCACAGGTCACAGAGGTCAACTTATGAAATTCCTTGTATTGAGTTTGTTAGCGCGATATCTCAAGAGCCATTTGAGATTTAAACTTCAAACTTAAGGATAGTATGTATCACCATAGGAAGACGATCTGATTAGATTTTGGAGCACGTATGTCAAAGGTCAAGGGTCACAGAGGTCAACTTATGAAATTCCATACATTGAGATTGTTATCATGATATCTCAAGAACCACTGGAGATTTAAACTTCAAACTTAGTGATAGTGTGTATCACTATAGGAAAACAATCTGATTACATTTTGGAGCACATAGGTCAAAGGTCAAGGGTCATAGAGGTCAACTTATGAAATTCCATACATTGAGATTGTTATCATAATATCTCAAGAACCACTGGAGATTTAAACTTCAAACTTAATGATAGTGTGCATCACCATAGGAAGACAATCTGATTAGATTTTGGAGCACGTAGGTCAAAGGTCAAGGGTCATAGAGGTCAACTTATGAAATTCCATACATTGAGATCGTTATCGCGATATCTCAAGAACCACTGGAGAATTTTCACTTCAAACTTAATGATAGTACATGTATGTATCACCATATCATAATATCTCAAGAACCACTGGAGATTTAAACTTCAAACTTAATGATAGTGTGTATCACCATAGGAAGACAATCTGATTAGATTTTGGAGCACGTAGGTCAAAGGTCAAGGGTCACAGAGGTCAACTTATGAAATTTCATACATTGAGATTGTTATCATGATATCTCAAGAACCACTGGAGATTTAAACTCCAAACTTGTTTAAATTGCTCTATGGCGGAGGCATCATTTTCGACTGCGCGCAGTCAAAATTCCATCTAGTTGCATATATAATGAGCCCCATGACCTTTGACCACATGACCCCCAAATCTAATCAGTTCCTTGACTCAGCAAGATACATACATGTTCTGCGTTTGATGGTAATGTGTCCATCGGTTCTAATGATGTGATCACAAGCTATTTATGCATACATAATGAGCCCTGTGACCTTTGAACTTTGACCTCGTGACCCCAAAGTCTACTCAATTCATTCAAGTTTGGCAGAAATCCATCAATCGGTTCTTGAGATAACCGTACTGACGTACGTATGAATGGACGGACGGACAACCCGAAAACATAATGCCTCCAGCTACTTTGTAACGGAGGCATAAATACAGAGTCATATGGTTTTGCTGGTCAGTGCCAATTACAGAGTTTCGAAGGGCAATATCACTTTTTTGTATAGCTTTTGACAATGTTAATAGGATTCATTGAAGACCCCCCCCCCCCCCCCCCCCCCCCCCCCGACTTGTTTCTTCTGATTTTCCTGCATTTATTGACATCAAGCTTAAGTGGAATCACCTTTTCGCCCTGTATGTATTTGCCTAACATGCGGATCGGTACAAACAATAAACTTCAATTATTATTAGGTTACGTTTCTGCAAAACTACTAACAATGGATTCTATAAATATGATGACAAATTTTGTTGGAACAGTTATCTCAGGAAGATAATGAGGCAAATAAAAGAGTTAAAATAATTTGCATCGACACTGCAGTACCTCTTACACATCTTAATAACTTTTTCATCTCACCTGCGAGGTTCAACCAAAGGCTGCGCGTTAAAGAATCCTAGAACATCTCGAGCCTGCTCCTCGACCGTCTTGCCAGTTTTGACACAACAGATTCGACCTTCTTCCACTCGTGACTTTAGCTGGGAGTCAAGAAATATGGAATGAGAAAGACTAACCATTTGAGGCATGAACTCAAACTTAATACAAGTATGTATCAATATGAGACTTCATTCCATTATAGTTTATACATGTATTAAAATATGTAAAAAAACCTTGAAATTATTACATTTTTTATTCTGATATTTCAGTATCAATTACAACTTTACATTAATGTATTTTTCTAGATCTGTGACAAATAGTTCAAGGCTGGTGGCATTAGAAACTAGATGGACCTTCGGCTGCGCAGTCGAAAAATGATGCCTCTGCCAAAGAGCGATTTTACAAACCAAAAACAGAAGGAATTTATAAAATTCAAGTTTGATTGTAATCCATTAACAGGTTCTCAGAGTATCGTGATTACAAGCTATTTTTCATATACATGTATGACCCTTTAATCTTTGACCTCATTACCCTAAAATCTAATCAGTTCATTGGCTCTGCAAGATACATACATGTCCTGAGTTTGATAGTAATCCATCCGTCAGTTCTAATGAGAATGAGTTCACAAGCTATTTCTGCATACATAATGAGCCCCGTGACCTTTGACCTCATGACCCTAAAATCTACTCAGTTCATTGGCTCTGCAAGATACATACATGTTAGGTGTTTGATGGTAATCTGTCCATTTATTCTAATGATAATGTGATCACAAGCTATTTTGGCATACATAATGAGCCCCATTTTGTAATGGAGGCATAAAGATATTACATTAATTTTTTTCTTAATAAGAATCCCTGACATAAGCCAATTCATAAAAACTTTACAAAACAGCATACCGGTAGCCATTTCGTATATCTAGTACATACCATGTGATATGGCGCTCCAGTTGTCAAAATAGCACGACCATCTTTCTGTGCAATCTGCAAGATTAAAAAAAATTCAGGTAACAATCAAATTATTCATACCCTTACCATGTTTTGTTATTTTGTCAGTATGTGAAAAATTGATTTGTCCCAATCTATGTTTCTTGAGAATGTGACATACTTAAAGAGAAGGTTGAGTTCTGGTCATGCAATTGCATTGTAAACGAAATGTTGTGGAATCGATCAGAAAAGGTTGATCATCTAGCATATAAATATTACGGTCAATCATTTCTGGACTTGGGAAATAAAATAAAATTCACGTATCGTAGTTCTCACGGGAGACTTCAATCTACCTAACATCTCTTGGGACAATTATTGTATTATACCTGGAAGGGCGGTAGCAACAAAGCTGCTGATAAACTTTTATCATTGGTTTGGGAAATGGGTTTACATCAACACGTAAACAAACCAACTAGGAAACAGGGTGAGACCGAAAATATCCTGGACTTGGTTTTCACCAATAATCCAGAGGTAGTGGATAAGTTTCAGTCATGGATGGTATTGCTGATCACAACTCAGTGGTATTCAACTTGCGGACTGCCCTTATCAGGAAACGGCCAATCAAAAGAAAGGTTTATCTGGGACAGAGCCGACGTCTCGTCTATTACAAACGATCTTCAAAGTTTTTCTGATAGATACTTTCAATCAATGTTGGGGAGAAGTGTTGATGACAAATGGGAAGCAATTAAATCTGCTGTCAAGGTCACCATGGAGAAATCAAGCAGATTCAACGTTCCTTGGTTTAACTGCACATTAGAATGTGCTGTAAGAAAGAAGCAGAGGTTGTACAATAAAGCAGTAAAGTCAGGGAGGTCCGAGGATTGAGAGGTCTTCAGGCAATATACATGTAGGAAAAACACTCATAAACTCAGCAAGCAAGCTAGATCTTCCTACATTGAAGACTTCTTGGGTACTGCCTTACTAGAAACTCCAAAACGATTTTGGAGTTTTATCAGACATCTCAACAGAGACAGTCAATGCATTTCCGATTTAGAAAGTGGTGGTCGTGTTGTCAGTGACAACAAAGACAATGCAAACCTACTGAATGACCAGTTCAAGAGTGTTTTTGTCACCGAATCTGATAGGGATATCCAATCTTTGAGCTCCAGTCCGTAGGGAATAAGTCACCTTACTATCACCAGTGATGGAGTTTAGAAGCTTTTTAGAGAACTGAATGCCAGTACATCACCTGGGCCCGACAGTATTCCACCCTGGTTTCTGAAAATTGGTACTGTGCAGCTAGCCTCTCCTCTGCAGGATCTATTTCAGTCCTCGGTCGACACTGGGTCCGTGCCTAAAGGATGGAAGAAAGCACATATAGCTCCTATCTTCAAAAAGGGGAACAGAAGTTCGCTGGGAAACTACCGGCCTGTCTCTTTGATGTCGGTAGTCTGCAAGGTGATGGAACATATTATCCACAGCCACGTAATAAAATATCTGGAAGACCAGAATATTCTTACTGATTGTCAACATGGTTTCTGAGCTAAAAGATCTACTGAGACGCAACTTATCCTCTCTATCCACGATGTTAGTAGGGAACTCAATAACGCCAACCTAGTCGACATGGTTTTACTGGACTTCACGAAAGCGTTCGATCAGGTCCCTCACCGTAGGTTAATAGAAAAGCTTCAATATTATAGTCTTGGAGGGGAAATTTCTATTTGGGTGGAAGATTTTCTGAGAAATAGATCACAACAAGTAGTAATCAACGGACACTCTTCAGCTCCTGCTTTGATGACATCCGGAGTTCGGCAGGGGGCAGAGACTGGGCCATTGTGGTTTCTACTAAATGTCAATGACATGCCTGATAACATTAACTCTAAGACAAGGTTGTTTGCAGATGACTGCATTTTATACACCCCAGTGTCGGTAGAGCATGACAACTGTTTACTCCAACATGACCTCCAGTCCCTGGAACGCTGGCAGGACACCTGGTTAATGAACTTTAATCCGAGCAAGTGCTACTCAATGACGTTTGGGAAACGAATTCTGCCACAGCGTTCCTACAATTTCTGTGGTCGAGATCTGGACTGTGTTTCTTCCCACCCATACTTAGGTGTACATATCTCTAACACGCTGAGTTGGAACACACATACCAAGGAGGTTGTTTCCAAAGCACAGAGGGGTCCAGAACGTCATTAGGCGGAATCTGTGATGTTGTGACAAGAACACCAAATCCACTGCAAACCAGATGCTGGTCCGTCCAATACTTGAGTATGCTGCAGCTGCTTGGGATCCATTTATGAAGACAAACATTAAGTCCCTGGACAAGGTGCAGCGACAAGCATCAAGATTCTGTACTACCGAGGGGAAAAGGGCTCTGTTACCAAGGCCATTAAATTTCTTGGGTGGGAAACCCTTGACACACGAAGGAAGAATCAAAGACTTTCCATGTTATATAAGATGAAAAATGGATTAGTTAATATACATTTGGATGAATTCATTCAACGTAACCCAAGAGCTACTAGTGGGAATGACCAGAAGTTTCTTCAGATCAGGCATAGGGCCAGAGTATTACAGGACTTCTTCTTCGTAAATATTGTTAGGGACTGGAACAACCTTCCTTCTTCAATTGTTCATAGCCCTCCCCTGGTAACATTTAAAGATAAAGTCTTTCCACACGCAATGCACTTCTGTCATCACAAAGTTAGCGTGGATGTGTCCAAACAGAAATTTTGCTGACGTACATGTAACAATACAGATACAGATAAGTATTGGTGTGTACTGCAAGGTTCTGGAATCATCAAAATGATAAGAAATTTGGTCCACTCTTGGTAAAGTTACAAGCACTGTACACAGAAAGATGTATATGGGACTACACAAACATGAGGCATAAAAATCCGGCCTGTTTTGTTATGTTACATGCCATATTAGAATATTAAGGCATTTGAAGAGCCTTGCTTTCCAGGGAACATATTTTATCTGATGTTCTTCCACACTTGCATAATGCAATGATAATGCTAAAAAAATATGTTTCTCTTCCCAGAACTCAACATTCTCTTTAAGTGTACAGCTAAAAGTATTCAACACAGGCCCTAATTCTGCAAGTCCACATTTCATTCTTTAGTTACGAAAAACACAAAAAACATCAAGTATGTATACAAATTGATTTGTCCCAATTTAGTTTTTTGAGAATGTGACATACCGGTATTAAAACTTACATCTATAAGTATTCAACAAAGAGAGACTTTGTTGTTACAAGCGGTATGAATGATTCAGTTATTCAGTATAACATAATTATAATGTATGTGAAAATTCAATCACATTTAGGAGAAATGAATGAAGATTGAGTCCACTAAATGAGCACATTCTTACTAGACAAAAATTTAGCATCTTGCTAAAACCTAATTAAAAATATTGGATATTTTCATAGCGCACACATCCACCACGCAAGGTTCTACTAAGGTACCAGTTTTGGTGCTCACAGCATTTAAGGAATTCCTTCCTACCTGTACCCATATTACTCCAGGGTGGAAAGTGATAAATGTAGAATGGCCAAAAGGACATTAGTGCCGCAGTGGGACTGGAACCACAAACCATGTGATCCACAGTCCGACGTTGTATCCGCTACACCACAACACCATACTTATCATTATTATTATTATCATTATTATTTGCATTCACAAAAAATTGATTTTTCCTAGATGAATGTAATGCTAAATTGTTACGAAAGACTTTCTCATAAGGCAAAGGAATCTGATTTGAACATGTAAATCACTAATTAGAGCCGTTACCATCGACACATGTCCAGAGAACACATGTCAGATAACATGAGTGAGCTATTTGACTCACTTATCAAAGAGTTTTATAAAGAGAGGGTTTTTAGCTAACCTCAACAGCCTTCTCATGTTCATCCTCCTTATCAAGATTTATAACATCCACTCCATATTTCCAGATGAGATGTTTCCCTAACCCCTTCAGCATGTTGTCGCATACCACGGCTAGTTTATCCGATGATATACGAGGAGCTCGTGGAGGCTATGGGTGGTAGTACAAGAAGGAGGAAAAACAGGAGACTAGAATAGAATTTCTCATGATAAGATGGACGATAATTATCTTTTTATTCACCATCACACTAACGAGAATATTACACAGATGACACACATTTAAAACATAAGAAGAAAAAGGAGGAGGAAAAAAAAGGAAGGATGAGAAGGGGAAGGATAGGAAAAGAAGGATGGGGAGGGGGGAGAAGAATAAGGATGAGGATGAAAAGATGAAGGAGGAAAGGAAAAAGGAGGAGAAGTAGGAGGAAAAGGATGAGAAGGAGGAGAAGAAGGAGGAGAAGAAGGAGGAGGAGAAGGAGGAGAAGAAGGAGTGGAAGAAGAAGAAGGAGAAAAAGAAGAACAGGAGAAGAAGGAGAAGAAAAAGTAAGAGGAGAAGAAATAGGAAGAGAAAGATAAGGAAAAGGATAAGAAAGAGAAGGAAATGGAGAAGGAGTAAAAGAAGGAGAAGTAGCAAGACAAAGATGGGAGAAGAGAAGGTAGTAAATTGGAGAGCAGAAGGGATGCATGAAGAGAAGATTATGAAAAACATACAATAATAGAAGGATTACAAACCTGGTTAACGGCTTCATCAACTGGAGGCCTCTTTTTGGGTGACATGCTTAATTTGGATTTGGTCTTGGATTTGGACTTCTCGTTTGTCTTACTAGAGATCCATGGTTCCATGTTCATCTGTAAGCCATGGTCTGATACTATCTCTTTGAGATGAGCATAGATTTCTAGCAAACAGAAGGCATCCAGGGCTAGAAAAAAAAGATGACAGGATTATTAATACTCATGAGGACATGAGACCACCACATGGAAGAGCATCCAAATCTCTACTGTTGTACTTTGCTTAATTTGTTATACAAACTGAAAATGAATATAATAGATTTCAGCTGCGAGTCAGAATAATATGGGCGAGAGAGAGAGAGAGAGAGAGAGAGAGAGTAGAAAAAGAGGAAAAAGGGAGAAGAGAAGAGAAGGAAAAAGAAGAGAGGACAGAGTTCATGAGGACCCATTGAAAAGCACACAATATATATATATATATATGTATATAGGACACAAGGTAGATAAATAAAAACACCGGAGAAGTGAATATTCCACTGACGTTTCGGGCATAGCCCTTTATCGAAGTGATTCAAGCATAAACAACAATATACAAAATCAAAAATATATAGGCGACGCTTGGTAGTCAAGATGCAAAGGCGCGTGAGAGTACGCGAAAGAAGAGAAAAAGAGATAGAGAAACGTCACAAAGCTCAAAAGTTGGACCATTGTGACGTGAGAAAATAGGAGAAAATTTGAAATATAGGGAGCGTTAGAAGAGCGTATCTCCAGGGGAGATACGCGGAAAGCAAAAGAAAAGGAAATCGAAAAGAAGAGGCGCACAGAAAGAAAAATAAGCAATTGAAAAAGCATTATGACGTAATAAAGATATTAAAGTTCAACAAAGTTCAGTGTGAGTTAGGGAAAGATCTGAAAGTGGCGTTCATCCCGTCCGGGTGGAGAGTGCCAAGTTTGAAGATTATCCTCTCCTCCATCAGCTTCCTTTCTTTCTCATCTCGGCAAGATTTCAGCACACATACTTGAAGGTCATCAGCATTATGATCTCCGATGTTGAAGTGGTGAGCTACAGGTAGTCCGGCTGTCTTCAGGCGTATGGAACGCAGATGCTCCGTGATTCTATCGGCTAGGCGTCTCTTTGTCTCCCCGATGTACACCATGGAACAGCGGGTACATGTCAATCCGTAAATGACATTAGTGGTGGTACATGTGAATTCTCCTCTGATATGCCAAGTTCCTCTGGGGCCCACCACATCATGGGATGAGACATGGGCGCAGGTCTTGCAACGAGGACGCTTACACCGAGTGGTACCAGGATTAGTGATGCTGTGGGGTATCTGACTGGGAAGTCTTGAGCAGACAAGTTCGTTTTTGATGTTCTTCCCCCTCCGGTACGCCGTGATGAATGGGTTGGCCCCAAATACACTAAGAGTCGTCTCGTCAGCCCGGAGGATGTTGATGTTTTCACGTACGGCCTTAGCAATTCGCTGAGATGTATGGCTGTACGTGAGTACAAGAGGGGTGCGGGAATTAGAATCCTTACGTCTCTTAGTCAGAGCGTCATGTTGTGTGATTCGGCTAGCCTTCATCATTCCCCCTTCGACGATCTTGTCGGGATAGCCTCTGTCAGAGAAGAAAGTTCTCATCTCCTTCGCTCTTGACTTGAAATTAGTGTCGTCGCCGCAAATTCGTCTTAGTCTCAGAAATTGTGAAAAGGGGATGGCCTTCTTACATGATGGGGGATTCATCCCCCATCATGTAAGAAGGGGGAAGAACATCAAAAACGAACTTGTCTGCTCAAGACTTCCCAGTCAGATACCCCACAGCATCACTAATCCTGGTACCACTCGGTGTAAGCGTCCTCGTTGCAAGACCTGCGCCCATGTCTCATCCCATGATGTGGTGGGCCCCAGAGGAACTTGGCATATCAGAGGAGAATTCACATGTACCACCACTAATGTCATTTACGGATTGACATGTACCCGCTGTTCCATGGTGTACATCGGGGAGACAAAGAGACGCCTAGCCGATAGAATCACGGAGCATCTGCGTTCCATACGCCTGAAGACAGCCGGACTACCTGTAGCTCACCACTTCAACATCGGAGATCATAATGCTGATGACCTTCAAGTATGTGTGCTGAAATCTTGCCGAGATGAGAAAGAAAGGAAGCTGATGGAGGAGAGGATAATCTTCAAACTTGGCACTCTCCACCCGGACGGGATGAACGCCACTTTCAGATCTTTCCCTAACTCACACTGAACTTTGTTGAACTTTAATATCTTTATTACGTCATAATGCTTTTTCAATTGCTTATTTTTCTTTCTGTGCGCCTCTTCTTTTCGATTTCCTTTTCTTTTGCTTTCCGCGTATCTCCCCTGGAGATACGCTCTTCTAACGCTCCCTATATTTCAAATTTTCTCCTATTTTCTCACGTCACAATGGTCCAACTTTTGAGCTTTGTGACGTTTCTCTATCTCTTTTTCTCTTCTTTCGCGTACTCTCACGCGCCTTTGCATCTTGACTACCAAGCGTCGCCTATATATTTTTGATTTTGTATATTGTTGTTTATGCTTGAATCACTTCGATAAAGGGCTATGCCCGAAACGTCAGTGGAATATTCACTTCTCCGGTGTTTTTATTTATCTACCTTGTGTCCTATTCATTTTATGCACCGACGCAGAACCATTTATTTTTACATTATATATGTATATATATACATATATATATATATATATATATATATATTTATAATAAAAAGCGAATGTACTTTTTATCATTTTACCTAGCCATCATCCAAACCCTACAACTTACCAGCATATGTCATTTGGGCCTGACTTAGAGGGCGCTTTTCCCAGTCAGACATCCTGTCCCTCTTGTCAAGGTTCTTTCCGAAGCAGAAGTGGACCAGGTCCGTCAGTCCAAAGGAACTGTTCACAGGGGCTGAAATCATCTGGAGGATCTACAGAAAACAATAGAATATCAAGCAGTGTTTAATAGTCAAGGCCAGCCTGGAGGCCATATTTCATTGTCTTTGGTCGTAGTCCTGGACTGAGTCTCGAGTACAAAACCTATCAAAATCTCAACACTGATTTAGTATATCTTTCAATAAAATTAGCAAGTATAAGGAATATGTAAAGTTCATCAAAGACTATGAATGTTGAAAATTTCCCATATTCTACATAAAAGTGATCACACAACTGACAGGAGAAAAGTCTTACCCGTTTGCTTAATCCATTGATATCCACAGTCCTCTTCTCTCCCTTCAGAGCTTCCTGGACTTCTAGAAAGGACTGGCTTAGCATCTTGTAATCTCCTGATATCCCAAAGCCTAACAGAATATTGTAAGTATTAAAGAAAAGTTCTCAATCAGATATAACATTATAATGGCTTGTTTAATCTAATTAGGATTTAATGGTTCTATGTCACATAATCCCGCAACAATTGCTCTGTAGTCAATATCCTACATTAACCAAATCCTAACCCTAACCCTTGACCAAACATTACACCTAACCTCTAACCATAACCCTAAACCTTGACCTAATTTAAAACCCATAATACTAACCTAAACCGAATTGCAACCATAACCCTAACCATAAACCGAACCTAATTAAACCGAACCGCAACCCTCACCCAACCCTATATTTTCTGAGAAAATAAACCAGGAGCAATTCTCTCTATCGAAACAATGATATTTGGCCATTGAGGGCAGCATGGGCCATGGGCATGTTTGGCAAAGGCACTTCCAGTTCCCATACAAATACAACAGGTCAAGAACTGGAAAGTCTGATAGAAATTATAGTTTCGCAACCAATAACCTATAAGTAATAGAATATGATGGTGCCTTCATAGATCTCATCAAATCATTGTGGGAGTTCATGAAACTTGAACAGGTTAATAAAATGAGGAATTAGTTGACACTACTGTACATTCTCTATAGAAGCCGGAAGAAACCTTGTCTTTATCATCTTGCCCAGTGTCATATCGTATGTGCGCATGCGCTGACCTGTGCAGTGTGGGAGGAAGGTCGTCATCTATTTTTTTATATTTGCGATAGGTTTGATAGTCACTGAAGCAAATGTCATAGCACCAATTTCTCAGGGAATTAATGTGAAGATAAGTTTAGATCACAACTAAACTCAAACAAAGAAATCCATCTGTTTCCTCACCAAGTTTAAGGATGTCCTCAGACTGTAATAACCGTTGAAAGAAAGTCTTGACAATATCCTTGGTTTCCGGTACCCACAAGGCTCTCATGTCTAGTAGGTAGACTTTCTCATGGGTTGCAATCTGACACACGGCCACCCTAAAAAAACAGTACAGGAAATTATGAAATACCATAGCTGTTTTGAATACTTCAATACCAAAATCATTCGGCAGCAGGAGAGACTTGCCAATTAATATGTACAACTTTAAAAGTTCGAAACTGATTTTTTTGTGAATCAGATTATTAAAAAATATATATTTCCTTGATTAGTACGCTTTCATTACAAGAAATTAGAGATACCTTCCCTTTAATCACATGCCCCGCTGGAAGTAATTAGATACTATAGCATAACCTTCTGCAAAGAAACTAGATCACAATGGGAAATCAACAGGAAGGAAGTACAGTCAAATCTGTCTTAACGACCACCTGTCTGTAATGACCACTTAAAACCCCCCTCCCCCCATCAGATTTCATGTAGTTAAGAACCTGTACACAACGACCACCTGCCTAACACGACCAGCAGCAACACATTTTGCTTCCGCTGGTCACCAAAAATGCCCACACAACGACCGCCAGTGCCAGCCGTGTAGCGATCAGCAACAACAGCGCTTGAGCAATTTCGTTCACATCTAGGCAATCGGCGACACAGTGGCAACCTGTAAAGCTAGATATAACAGTCATTTACACACAAAAAACTATCCAACCCCAACATGAATGCATGGGTGAGTCCATTATCCTCTAGCTTTTAAGTTTTATCAAAACTTTAATAAAAACATATATATATATACCGACGGGATATGGTTTCTTGCACATTTCATTATGGACTCTCCCATTTGTGTTTCCCTTGGGTGGTCACTATAGACAGGTTTGACTGTATAGGAAATGGGTTTCACACCTGCTTTATAAGTTTATACTTACTTGACTTTCTGTGTTCGGTTGAATGGTGGTTTCCATTCCATGTCAATTCCTACTACTGCATTTGGCTTCTGAAAGAAAGAAAAATAAACCCAAAATGAGGATGATATCTTATACTTGTGACAAGAATCATTTTCAAAGTAGAAATAAAACTCTTTTCACTGTTCTTTCTCACATAATATAGGTAAAGTACACATTTGATATTCTAATGGAGAAGCACTGTGCATTAAATGTAGATGCACCCCACAACTCCTAGATCAGGACTCATGGACAATCATGGGTTTTGGCACTTTCAGGCATGCGGGAAAGGGTTTCCAGAGGCCTAAAAATAAGGATTTTTAAAGCTTAAGTTTACAAAAACTGGGCATTATTCCATTGACTAAGTAATGACTAAAGCAAAAGATCAGATTTCTTAAAACAAACAAAAGATGAAAAATTTGGAAACCATATTTTACTGCTTAATTTAATAGTTCTTTTTTCTTTCTTTTTTTCTTCTTTTTTTTCCATTTTTTTCTTCATTTTTTTCTCCTTTTTTTTTTCTTCATTCTGTTTCTTTCTTTTTTCTTTTTTTTCTTCTTTTTTTTTCTTCCATTTTTTTTTTCTTCATTTTTTTTCTTCATTTTTTTTCCATTTTTTTTCTCAATTCATTTTTTTCTTCATTATTTGTTTCCATTTTTTTTCTTCTTTTTTTTCCTCATTTTTTTTTTTCTTCTTTTTTTTTTCTTCATTTTTTTTTCCATTTTCTTTTCTCAATTCATTTTTTTCTTCATTTTTTTTCTTCATTTTTTTTTTTCCATTTTTTTTCTTCCTTTTTTAATTTTTTTTTTAATTTTTTTTTTTTTTTTTTTTTTTTTTTTTTTTTTGGGGGGGGGGGATTGTCACGTCCCGTAAAAAGAGGGACACTTTGTAGGTCTGCATCTCTCCATCTCTCCGACCACCACTGGGCCCACCTCCACCCAGTCATCCATGGAGACGACAGAACGTTGATCCCAGGTCTGGAAAAGAAAACTACATGGGGTATGGATTATGTTGCGTGTTAACTACCGGTAGTAATTTCACATAATTCCTTTTTTAATTAAACTACTAAAAAGCAGCATCCCTCCAGACAATGAAACACATAATAAATGATCACGTTCAGACAAATTGATTATGGTTAAAAACTGGTTCTATATTCTATAATTTCACATAAGTAACAATGATTACTGAATTATCAAAAACCTCCTCTGTCTATCTCAACAGTGACAGACAACTAAACTATAGCTAGGCCCTTGGTAGTTACTATTAATAATCAAACATCGATAACTTCCAAAAGCAAATTTATGTAAAGGAGACTCAACATAGTCACTATGGTATAAATGATTACCACTTTATACAAGTCTCGAAATATCAGGAGTCCTGTTCAGTACAACTTAAGACGGTACTAAAACAGAGTCAGTTAAATATCATTCACACTGCATGAATAATAACCAAGAAAATACTACTCAAATCTAGCTAGACTTATAGCGTTTAGATTTACTTAAATAGGCACGGAATATTGTGGTTTAAAAACCCACTAAACAAATCTCTACTTGTGTATGTGTACTGAATGCACAACACAAGAAAATAACAATAGATCGGTGGATCTAGACTAGGTCTATAGCAAGTCGAGACCTAGACCAGAGTCTAGACTAGTGCAATTATAAACATGTAAAGTATGGGTTACGATTTATGCGTACACACTCGATAACAGGCACTCAGTCAAAGTTAGTCAAGATAACCATCACAATGATAAACAATGCAATGCATAAATCACAATATAATCAACGTTACGTGAGTCATGGGAGTCGAATTCAGAGTAGACCTCTAGGTGTAGAAACTAGCTAGTCGAAAACGGTGGTCGATGAGCTGGTTGTCAATCGGGTAGAAAATGCAGTCGATATCTCTATACTATTTTATATACCACTCGAGTTTGTTTGCTAAAATTCTTCCCTTGAGATTGCACGCATATACGTAAAATGCCAAAACCGGTCAATAGTGCTTTGAGAGGCCTAGCTGTTTTATAAGCTCAAGGGAATGTGCACATCCTGCCATGACCCCGAGGTGCGCCTGGCTGGGCGTCGCACCGAGGGGTCATGGTAGGATGTGCAAGTTCCCGAGAGCCTATAAAACAGACAGACCTCGAATATTAAAACAATCGATATGTCTTTTGTATGCCGAATTGACACAAAAATCTACCAAGAATTCTTACCTTATCCTTTTATTGAGTAATGATTGGTTAAAACATCAAGGAAAATCTGAGACACTATCTGTTAATCTTCACTAGAAATGTGACTGAAAGTTTCATCATTTGGGAGTCGCAGAAAAAAAGCACTGAATGGTGTCCGCGCCATATGACTATTGACCGGTTTTGGCATGTCTTTGTCTCTCATAGCAGACATTATTACTATATTATTCACCTGATAAGTATAATAATATTTCAATAGACAGAATCCGAACTGCATACATTAGTTGTTGCCAGGTTGGACAAACATTATGACTTGACCTACCTAGCAACACTTAAAGACCGTCAATACTACTGGGCCAGAAGTGATTAGACCACACAGCGAGGTCACTGACAGGTGGCTATCTCATTAACTCAGCTCTCAACTAACATAAGAAAAAGAGGATCATGGGGGACCAACAGGCACCGATTGGGGAAGTTTTCTATATAGAGGGAGCAAGTAGCTACAAGTAGGACAGTGGGGCTTTAATATATGCAGTTTGCATTCTGACTATTGAAATAATATTATTCTTATCAGGTGAATGAAAGAATTTGTATTGAGGCACTTCACAAAGATTTGGTTACATTACGAAAATGGCCTATTCTGTCTTTAAATCTAGAGCGCTAGCTAGGATATTCAAAACAACACTTTGTGTGTTTAGATTCACTCAGTAATCTGATACACTCTCACATACATACACCAATCCTAATGTAAACCAGACCATGCGTCCTTCTACTAGTATACGCTGAAACTCATTGTTACGTATGGCAATTTGTTTTCCTTTTGGGATGCTCTGTCTCGCACTTTCCAATCCGTCTCTCACCACGTGCAACACACATTGTTTCACTCTCTGAGAAAACTGCATTGATTTGGCCATTTTCCCCTTAAAGGTAGCTTCTAGGGTCTCAAACTACTACACAATAAGTTCTATTCTTGTATAGGTGAGTATTATTCTCACTGCTGATATAAACTAAGTATCACATCAGTAGGAAATAATCATGATTCTGTCCCTCTCGTAAGTCTCATACATCATTAAGACCATAACCATGTCCCATTCGTTCGTTTCTGTGTATCAAGTTTTTCACTCAGTATCAAGTCTTTTACTCAGTCACTTGGTAATAACAAAAATAGTATCTTATTCCCTTTCACACTCAAGCGATTTATAAGGCACGATGACCTGAGTCCATTTGTCTGAAATACACAGACGAAGGTCTTTGTGTTCTTGTTTAGAAATAGTAATATCCTCTTAAATTCTATAGTAGTTCCAAATCTACTCTAGATTTCATATACTATCATCAACAATGCATACCGGTACTTAATTTACTAGGCAAACCAGACTAACAAGATATATAACTTGAAATCAATTTAAAGTCAAGTAAGGAATTTATTATTCAATAAGCCATTTCTAGGCAACTGTTTAACAGTATGAAAATCTCAACAAGGATAGAAATATTTTTATGAACTTCACTTATGATTTGACTAAAAAATTCTTGACACGGAGGTGGAAGAGATGGAATTAGCTCACGCAAAGAACAATAGCCACGAGCTCTTCAAGAAGGTGAAGAAACTATCTGGTGAGAGAAACAAAATGCAACCTGCCATGAAGAACAAGGACCGCATCTTAAAAACTGCTCCTGCAGATGTGTTGAAATGCTGGGAAGTACATTTTAGGTTCACCTTAACACGCAATTTCCAAGGGACGAAAATGCTCTTCAGACCATACCTGACCCACAACCTACTGATAACCCAAGTGAACCTTTCACAATTGAAGAAGTAGATATGGCAATAAAACTATTGAAGAACAACAAGGCCTGCGGGTGGGACAAAATAGCTGCCAGAGAAAGAAAGATACCAATCCACTTACACTTCGTTGACTTTAAAGCAGCATTTGATACCATATGGCGAGAAGCTCTCTGGAAATGTTTGCGTTCCATTGGAGTGGACAAGTCCTTAGTTGTCCTTATAAAGAGCATGTACAAACAAACCAAATGCTCTGTTATGGTGAATGGTTTGGTGTCATAACTGGGGTAAGACAAGGCTGCCTCCTCTCTCCAAGTCTCTTCAACATATTCCAGGAATGTGTGATGAAGGACATCCAACAACTAGATAGTGGAATACCGATGGGTGACATGCGTATCAACAACATCAGATATGCAGATGACACCACCCTTATGGATCTCGTATTTGAAAACCTCCAAATCTCAACAAATGAACTGGAGAAGGCATGTAGAAGATGGGGTATGAAAATCAATGCAACAAAATACAAAGTCAGAGGATCAACAAGATATTTCACTTAACAACACCAACATTGAGAAAGTAGAAAAATTTGTCTTTCTCGGCAGCCCAGTTCCTTCCATAGAAGAGGACGTGAAGAGACGTACAAGACTGGCTGCTTGGGCATTTGGAAGACTGAAAAGTGCCATCTGGTCCAACCAAGATATTTCTAGGAGACTCAATGTCAGGATCTACAGAGCACTTATCCTCCCTATTGCCACATATGGAGCAGAATCCTGGACTCTCCGAAAGTCTGATAGAAATAAGCTTGAGGTATTTGAAATGAGGTGTCTCCGGACCATCCTTGGAGTTCACCTAATGGACAAGATAAGGAACGATGAGATCAGGCAGAGACTGAACATCCCAAGCACCACATGCGAGGAAATAATCACACGTCGCTTGAAATGGTTTGGCCATGTTTTACGCATGCCGCATCACCGCCTACCATACCAAGCATTCCATAATGACTTTGATGGACGCAGACCTCGGGGACGCCCTCCAAAGAGATGGAAGGACCAGGTTCAATGCGATGTGGGATTACCCACACAACAGTCAGAGCAACGAGCCCGAAACTGATCAGACTGGAGCATGATTTCTCGTAGGGGAGCAAGGGGACACACCGTTCTATGCACCTAAGTCAAGTCAAGTCAAATAAAAAACAAATTTGTTTTCACTGGCTACCTGCTGTAGCAACAAACAGAGTTGACATCAAGTCTTTTGACTTCTTTGTGCATGGCTGATCGTTAACGAAACAGAGTTAAGTCTTCTGTCAACTCTGTTTGTTGTAAGGCTGTGCACAACAGTGTAATGAAGTACCCGAGTACACTCCCAGGCTCACAAGCGAATACTCAAATATTCGGACGCCATGTTTTTTTATAATTTTTTATAATTTTTTATAATTTTTTAGAATTTTTTTAATTAAAAAAAAAAAAAAATTTTAATTTTTTGATTTTTTGATTTTTTTTTCTTCTTTTTTTGCCACTACCATACCACTCGGCAGTTTCCCAGATCCCTCGCCGAAAACTGCATGCAACTTTACTTTGAGTTGCAGTTGAAGGCGCCGATTTAATAAGAATAATAACAGTAAACAATGCTGTTTTAAAAACCAAAGATGGAATAATTCATTTTCCTCCAAGTCCAAACAGAAATCTGGACATTTGGTCCCAGTTTCTGAAAGGTGAGTTTGACAGCGCTTGAGTTGGGAAACATTTTTACCGACGGTACCATGCCAGCGGCTGCCGCTCTCCCTGGCACGGGTAAGCGTGGGCCTGGACTTTTTTTTAAAAATTAAATTTTTTTTTTTTTTTTTTTTGCGGCCGAATATTCGGGTACAAGAAATCGTACCCGAGTAGTTGTTAACCGTGCGGGTACTCGAGCATTCGACTACCCGTCGCAGCCTTAGTTTGTTGCTACGGCAGGCAGCCAGTGAAAACAAATTTGTTACATCAAATCATGGAAATGCAAGCATCACTTAAAACAAACAGAACTTTGTTATTCCAGGCTCATTTTTCCTGATTGAGGTGTCATATGAAAGGGCAGAAAATGAACTTTCTAGAAATGTGATTTTCTCTTTGAAATTCAGATACCGTCCGCCAAACGACTTTCTGGTACCTTCTCTTCAAATTGTTTTTAATCACTTATGCATGAAATATGCATTATATGAGCCGCATGAAATGAAAGAGGAGGATCTAAGCTTTACAAATATGTGTCATTTATTAATTATAATTGTGATTAAGTTATGCAAAAACATCGCTAATTCTTGGTTTCGTTTTTTTCTGGGACGCACTGTATATATTTCCTGTACAACTGTCTCTAATCTTAATCTATGAAATACATGTATCAGGCCTTCTATAGCAAGTACATGTATCATAAATTTAAGCGTTATTATTAAAACAACCTTAACAGATAAATTAATCTACAGAGGCGCTATGAAATATTTTAAAATAAATAAATAAATAAATAATCTTGCTACTTGTGATGTTAAAACAAACATTAAGCTACTGCAGTGTCTCTCAATTGACATTTTGCATGTGTTGCAAACAAGCAACTGTGCATTGGGGCGCAGGAAGCAATCAAAGTGTTCATTACCTTACTCGTGATGTCTACAAGGCACTGTTGTATACCGGCCGCAGTGGAGACTAGAATGACCCTTCCTCCTGGCAGATTGAGGGAATAATAATCAACACTAGGAGCATCTGGCAACTCTTCATCCCAGTTCTCTTCTACTCCATCTTGTTCAGCATTGCTTCATAAGAAAGATACATGTACTGTTATGAAATTGACATGAAATTGCAATGAAACGTTTATGAAGGTCATAATATTCTCATCCCCCAAATATCAAGATTTGCACACACACACACACACAAAGAAGAAAGATTCAAGGGTTCTGCTTCAAACTCTATAAAGCTTCCAAAAATATGGACCCCTACTTAATTATGTTAAAAATTAAGGTCGGGTGACATCCAAATATAAGTTGATGTGCAGGGCTGCATACAAATCATATTTTGTTATTCAAACATCTAAATATATTTCGTAGATTTTGAATATTTAAAAAAATAATTTTCTCAGACCTGCTAAGCTCCATCCTAAAAAAATGCTCCAGATCTCATTCATATTGTGACATCATCTGTCAATCATTAGTGAGCTATCAAGAGACAGTGGTATGTACCTTCCCCAAGCTTAGCACATGCTCATAAAAGAATTGCATTCTTTCATACCATACCCCAACATTACCTTTCTTTTCCTGGTGATGCTACAGCATGTCTGACATAGCAACTCCCATGTTGGTATTGTATGATGTATTGTAAACAGGTGGTCAGCTCTGGTGAAGCTACAAACCACTGTCTCTTGTTAGCTCACTAATGATTGACAGATGATGTCACAAGATGAATGAGATCTGGAGCTTTTTTTTAGGGTTGAGCTTAGAAGGTCTGATAAAATTATTAAAAAAAATATTTAAAAATCTAATATGAGTTGTATGCAGCCCTGCACATCAGCAAGAATCAACTTATATTTGGATGTCACCCGACCTTTAAGCTGCTTGCACAGTGTCACTCGATTTGACTAAATTAATAGAAACAGAGACCATCGCATGTATGACTAACTGCTTAACAACCAAAATTTGTTATAAGCAACTAAATGTGAGAATCATGAAAAGTGTCACCATACCCTCATGACCTCACCTATTTAAGATCCAAAATAAACCGGAATTACACTTTTATGGGCTTTAACTTTCTTATTACATTTCCAACTTATCAAACTTCCACTTATCATATGCTCTGATTTTTCTGAAATCACTCAGAACAGCTTGCTATTAAGGTTGAATCAGGGAGGTGGGAGGGAAGGAGTGGACTCTTGATATTTTCCCTATGTCCCCATGCTCTATCCACGACACTGCAGAATGTTATCCCAACTGATCCTAGTTACTGCCGCTCATAAATTTCTTCGAAGCAAGTGACAGGCGAGGTCACAAAAAGTTTCTGCGCATGCGCCTTCGCTCAGTGTAGGGATGTAAAAATGGCGACCGTGTGTGCTCCTGAGATTCAGTCCAAAAGCCCTGCCGGAGATTAGTATTTTTACCCGGAAGATGGGAAATTGAGAGTTGGGAAACAACCGTCTGTATCTGTGGAGTTCCTGTTATGGAAAACTTAATACATATACGGGATATCTCCTTTGTTATGCAGAAAATCACATCCTATGACAAGAACGTAAGATGTGCATATGAGTGCCGATTGCAAACTCTTAAGAACAGCTTTTATCCTCATTCTCAGGAAAAATTTATCATAGCGCAAGGTTGAATAAATTCCCCTTAATATTCATATTCATATTTTCAAAAATAATCTTAACTTAACGTGTAACTTGGCTATATCTGGTCAGATTTTGACGTTTCAAAAACGTAGGACTTCGTTATCGCTCTGATTTACGACCAAGCGCTCATTGTTGCGTAACTTTCATAACCAGCGGGCATTGAGCAGCTGCCTGAGCGATGCCTATCAGGAGATTGGAAAATCAATTGCAGCAAAATAAGCTTTTTTAACACCCCTTGAAAAGTTGTAAAATAAAGAGTCCACTCTTTCCCTCCCACCTCCCTGATTGAATCAAGGCTACAACAAGCATACCTGGCATCCGACCTCTGCAGTTCCTTTAAGACAGCCTCAGGTAGTTGATTGTCATCAATCCCATAATGCCTTGCCCAGCGAGCGGCTGCTGGGACATCTTTGTACCATACCAGTTGGTCAATGAAACAAATCTGGAAGGATTTGTTATCTCCAATGGTGAAGACTATAAGCTCTTCCCATACATCTTGCGCCATGGACTCCTGCAAAGAAAAAAAGAAAAAGAAACCACATGTCATTGCCATAAATCTTGGAATATTGTTGAGCCCCCACCTCCCCCCACATTAACACATCAGGGGTAAACTCACTGATATTCAAGATTATAGGCACAAAGTTTATCAAATTCACAGTTGAACAACGATAAAATCTAAATTAGCATTAATTTAAAAGAAACTCTTGCAATTTAATTGCAGTTGAAGTCACAATTGGATAATAAACGAGACTTGTCAAGTTCATTATCCAGCTAATTGTGACTCAACCAAGTGCAGTGCTGCCTATCACTAATGCACGAGCTTCAAAACATGAATTATTTGATATAAACATAAATCAAGAAATAAGCCGAAAATCTGATGAATATGACAAGAATTACAGTCATGGGGGGGGGGGGGGGGCATTGTCTTTGACTAACACTGCAGTACATAAACACAGTCAAACAGTGTAGTGCATGTCTCAGTGTGCGCATCAATATCTTTGCCATTTGAAGCTAAGTGCATTTCATCATCCTTTATATTTTGTACCTGTATGCGTCAGAGATACGCATACCCCCATCTCAGCCATGCATTCTCACTTTTGGATGGGACCTTTTTTGCACAGTAGGCATGGTAGGATGAATGATGCACGGTCATGTGGTGGAATGTGACCAATTAGACTTCTTACATTCTTGAACCTGTTTTATCGTACATATTATGTAACCTGTTTTATAACGTCAATCAGGGTTATAACTAGAGACTTTTTTTTAGATTTTTAGAGGTGGGCACGACTTCACTGACGCCCTTTAAATCCCAAATCCTGACCTCTGCAACATCGCGATTGCGAGCTTTAAACACGAGCTTCAAACATGAATACCGTATTTGCTGGCGTAAAGGCCGCAGTATTTTTGGAAGAGAAAATATCAAAAAGTCGGGTGCGGCCTTTACGGCGAATCAGTAAAAAAAAAAATTTAAAAATGTAAGTCCAAACCAGCACGAATTTGCACATATGGGACTACGAACGGTAAAATAACTATACCACTATGGTACAGGACATTTCAACATATCTTACCGACAATTTTATCTTGCATTGTTGACATGAAGACCAAAATAAACTTCCAAAAACAACATCTGCCGATAGATCTTGATTTAAGTTCGTGCCAATGCATTGCAAAAGTAAAAGAAGGGCCTGTTTAACGGAGCTGCCGCGAAGCATCCAGCATGCAAAGTCACCTTTTTCAATCCATCTCAATGTATACATCTGAGAAAACAGCAGGGTATAGCATCAGTGCAGGATGGCCGCGCGGTCTAAGGCGGTGATTTTAGTCACATCAACATTTGTACGCAAGAGATTGAATCCCGTCTTCGACAATTTTTTTTTTTTTTTTCCTTCTTCTTGCGGCCTATGCGGCGGTGCGGCCTTATCGCCGGCAAATACGGTACACAAGTGTACTAGGCGCTGATCAACACAGGTTCGACTCAAACCCAATCAATAGAAAAATAAATATTGTAACAATATCGGATAACTTTTTACAATATAAATAATGAAATAAATATTATAGTATTTTAATTTAATTATTCTGAAAAATTTCAATTTTTGTTATTTACCCTATCAAAAATAAAAATTTATAAGAACAGTAATCGGACGAGCATGGGCTACTATCTCTGTGTATTATAACGTATACATCGGTAAATTCAATATGGCAGCTAGCATGAATCATATTTATCAATCTTTTATTGTCAAATTGAAAACATGATTCTTGTACGATTGCAAATAAAACACGATTAAGACGGAAATATGAATGTAAGTACTACTTTTCTTCACAAATAGTTTCATGTAAGGCAGTTTTTATGTCAAATTTGTGCCGGTCGGAAGCAGTATTTTTCATCAGGAGTGGTGGGCGGAAGTCCTCCGTGCTGGTCGGGCCCGCCCTGTGCAGACCATCATAGCCATGTAATGATGTTCATTCACTAGCATTTGAGAACATCCTGAGATTTGATTACTATGATCAGGCCTCATACATCTATTATATTTTGTACATTGCTTTTTTAAAACAATTCCTGGTCAAATGGAAAGTTACCTTGCTATACCTCTCATGAATGAGGTTCTTGATGGCGATTTCGGACTTGGAAGTGTTGGGACAGATCGACCTGTCCAGTTTGAACATCTTGACCAGTTGAAGTATAAGCTTGGTCAGGGGACGTCTCTTTAGCTTCTCAACCTTCACCCATGGGACACTGCTTTCCATCTTTCTGCATGGTTGAAAGGTACATTTTACAAGTTTTGTCAGGCTTTAGTTCCATTGTAGACAATTTCACAGTGGTTCTATTTCGTCACTCTGATTAAATTGAAACATAAATTCATAATAAAGGAGGCTCAAACACTGTACTGACTTATTGGGTACTTATCCTGCAATACCTTTTTACTGTCCAGAGTCTATGGAAAAGGTATAATTAGCAGCCTCTCTATGTAATACTTTGAATCGCATCCACACTTTGCACAGTTGCTTTACTGCATGCATTTAAATGCCTTCATTTTTTTTTCTAAGTGCAAAGTAGATATATACAATTTTGCCCCCTACCCATCCCCTAAAAAATGATGCTTTTCATCTCTATGTTTAAATTCATAACGTCTAAATTATTTATAAATCATCAAATCTAGATAACACAAATACATAGTCACTGCGAATACAAACATACCTCAGATATGCATTTATATCATAGCCCAGCTCACAGAAAACATCCAATTGTCGTACAAGAGCCTCTTGCAATTCTGGAAAACCTTGGACATATTTCTCTACTATGTTGGCTTTGTCTTGAATCATGAGAGGTAGACAGATCTGAAGAACAAAAAGAAGAAGGAGAAGATGAAGAAGAAGTAACAATTTGTGCAAGTAGGAACAAACCAGCAAAAAAAGTCAATGGGAGTGGTGAACAATTAATAGCTCTAGAAATTAGCACTGGTAAATTGATAAATAACCCTGGTGAAGAATTTTAATATCACTGTGAAGAAAATTGTGCTTATACAACACCAAATCTTTAAAGAGCTCCCATGGACAGAAAAGTATTTGTACACTGGAACAAACATTATGTAAACATGTAACGATTCACCAAAGTACAAACAGGACTGACCTGAGATCAGACAGGAATTGGAGATTTAACACTTTTAATTCAGCGACAACGGCCTCCGAAAACCACGATAAGAATATCACAGCGAAGTCTCCATTTTACAACTGCCAGATCATAATCACGATTATATCGGTATCCGACTATCGGTTGATAATAACAATCCTTATAAACATATTGGAGTTTTTGTGGTGGTCAATACAGTGCGAGTCAAAAAAAAGTTTACACCTAGAATTTTTTTTCATAAATCATCTATGAACAGTAAATTATTAAACATTTTATGAAAGAGTGTTTTATTCTGAATCGTTTAGCATCACTTTTGTGTGGTATGCGTTCACCCTTGGATGAACAAGAGGCATTGTTTGCGAGAGTGCAAAAATCGACTTGCGCCAAAGTTGCTTATGTGATGTTTGAATAAAACAATTGGGATTTGGGTATTAATTGGGTATCAAATATCAAATAGCGTGTGTGTGTTTGTGTGACTTTGCTTCTGCAAAAGGCATATGCAATGCATCTCATTTGATACATTCAACTCATTCTCTCACTCAATCCCAATATACTGTAGGCATCACGTTGGCGCAAGTCAATTTTTGCACTCTCGCAAACAATGCCTCCTGTTCATCCAAGCGTGAACACATACCACACAAAAATGATACCAAACGATTTGGGAAAAAACGCTTTTTCATAAGATGTATAATAATTTACTGTTCATAGATGATTTTTAAAATAATAGCAATTTTCTAGGTGTAAACTTTTTTTTGACTCACACAGTATACTGGACTAGGTGGAAAATTTGTTCTTGATGCAGATAGCTGGTATAAGACAAAATTGATAATCAATTCATTCAACTTCAAGCTGATTCCTCAATAACAAAAGAAATTGATAATCCCTATTTCCTGTTCATAAATCTAGGAAAAACAAACCTTGCTATTGGGGATGCAGCAAACAAGGCTTGCCAGGCACATTAAGCCTCCCCCCAAAAAAAAAGAATAATAATAAATAAATAAAACTAGATGGAACTTCGACTGCGCGCAGTCGAAATGATGCCTCCGTCATAGTAATTTACAAACCAAAACAGAAGAAATTTTTCAAATTCAAGTTCAATTGTAATCCATTAATAGGTTTTCAGAATATTGTGATTACAAGCAATTTCTCATATACATATATGACCCTTTGATCTTTGACCTCATGAACCTAACATCTACTCAGTTCATTGGCTCTGCAAGATGTCCCAAGTTAAATAGTAATCCATCTGTCAGTTCTAATGAGAATGCGTTCACAAGCTATTTTTGCATACATAATGAGCCCATGACCTTTGACCTTTGACCTCATGACCAAAGAATCTACTGAGTTCATTGGCTCTGTAAGATGCATACATGATCTAAGTTTGGCTGGAATCCATCAATCTGTTCTAATGATAATGCGATCACAAGCTATTTTTGCATACAAAATGAGCCGCATGACCTTTGACCTTGACCTCATGACCCCAAAATCTAATCAGTTCATCGGCTTCGCAAGTAACATACATGACCTAAGTTTGGCAGGAATCCTTCAATCGGTTCTTGAGATAACGCGATCACGAACAGTTTTTGCATACATAATGAGCCCTGTGACCTTTGACCTCGTGACCCCAAAATCTATTCAGTTCATCGGCTCTGCAAGATACATACATGACCAAAGTTTGGCAGGAATCCATCAATCGGTTCTTCGGATAACGCGATCACGAGCTGTTTTTGCATACATAATGAGCCCTGTGACCTTTGACCTTTGACCTCGTGACCCCAAAATCTAATCAGTTCATCGGCTCTGCAAGATACATACATGACCAAAGTTTGGCAGGAAACCATCTATCGGTTCTTTGGATAACGCAATCACGAGCTGTTTTTGCATACATAATGAGCCCTGTGACCTTTGACCTTTGACCTCGTGACCCCAAAATCTATTCAGTTCATCGGCTCTGCAAGATACATACATGACCAAAGTTTGGCAGGAATCCATCAATCGGTTCTTCAGATAACGCGATCACGAGAACGGGACGTACGGACGGACGGAAGGACGAACAACCAGAAAACATAATGCCTCCGGCTACTTCGTAACGGAGGCATAAAAATAAAAAATCTGCCCCTGGAACGGATTCCTCCCCCAGTTCGCCCATTTTCTGGTTTTGCCACAATATATCTAACTGCAGATTAACCCTTCCTAATGTTGAATTAAAAAAACTGTTCCCATGATGTATACTTACATCCTCCAATGAAAAGCAGTTCTGAAGTTTACATTTAGTAACACATGTTGCAGCCTGTAAAAATGAGAGAGAGAAAGAGAGAGAGAGAGAGAAAAAAATGGGTGAAGTATTGGGTTCTTTTTCTTTAGCAAAGAATCTATGATCCAGCTAAGAGTGAAAATGGATATATCACGATAAACTCTAAAATATAAAAATGCCTGTAGAACTGTGGAAGCTGTTAATAAAAACAAAAGGACAAAGTCAAGACATAATAATGGGAGAAAGAATAAGGAAAGAATAAAGAGTTAGTTACAGATTGAGCAGAGACAAATTGAAAGCACAGAAAAATATGTGCTTAAAAATTCTCTGAAAATACATTGTCTGCTCCTCCCTTTTCTTCTTCCTCTCTTCCTTTTTTTTTCCTTCTTCTCGTTCTCCTTCTTCTCTTTCTCCTCCTCTTTCTTCTTCTCCGTCTCTTTCTTCTTCTTCTTCTTCTTCTTACAATACCTGTCTGAGCTCTAACATCCTTTGGCAAGATATCAATATTCCGACCCAGGTGACGTAAATAGGTACCCGGCAAGAATTAATTCTTTGGAATCCTAGAGCGCCATAATGGTGTACATGTAAATGCCAAAGCTGGGGTAATAACTGTTAGAGTGCTATTAGAGTGTCAGGTCTGTAAGAAATGAGCGCTATACAAGAACTCATTATTATTTTTACAATGTCTAGAGAGCTACTGACCTCTTTGAACAGTTTCTTTTCCAGCATGACCCTGACTCCGGACACCAGGAAAGAGTTGTCTGGTCCTTGCAGGTTGAAGAGCTTGGACAGGATATCAAAGACGTTGGAGTGAGCACTGGCTGCCAGGTGAAGGGCTTGCATCTTCAGTTCTGGGGTTAGGATTCTGGTCAATTCCTTAACAAATAAGAGAACAAGATTAGATTCTTATATATTTCCAATACTGACTTGATTAGTTAATTTGCAATATATTTAGAATTTCATGTTGTAGACATAATAATTGTAATTTCTTTGAGAAAAAATGTTTCATGGTTATAAAAAATATACAGCATTAGATTTATTAGTCCACTTGAGTAGACAGAGACTTCCATGTAAAGGTACTATATATCCCATTTGCAGCCAACATCAAATTCTGTAGAACTTTGCAGCAATTATGAATATGTCACATACATCTACATGTATGTCCTATCTGTAACATTTTAACGTTAGCAGTGTCCTAGTATTCAACTTATGCAAGGAAACCTGTTTACTTTCCAGACTTCACTGTCAGACACTACATGAATCGAGTGACTAACTGACTTCTTTTTTTCTTTGGTAATAACATACATAAAATGAGCTGTAAAGGGTACACATACATCCCACTGCTTGTAATGGCCAAAATTAAACTGATTGAATATTTGCGCAGCACAAAACGTACAACCATTCGATACAGGGTCTGAAAATCAGACTATTTACTAAATGGAATGCAATCACTAAAGTCATTTTAACAACTAACAGTCGTTATTTTCCCACAAAAAGACATTTTCAAGCCCTTTCTTTTTGAAGGAAGTTAATTTTTTGGGCCGGCAAATTGGACAAACTGTAGTACCTTTAAAGGGCACGTCCACTCCAAAAATAACGAACTTTCAATAGAAGCAGAAAAATCAGACAAACCAATCAAAAAAGTTTGAGCAAAATCGGATAACTAATAAGAAAGTTATGAATCTTTTATGACATAAAAAACTTTGAAAATCACAGGACAAATTGGCAACTCACTCATGAATCTGTGACATCATATTCCTCTTTATCCACTAATTCCTTTCTTTGTTATTTATAATATAAATTTCCTATTTTCCCCCTAAGAATCTTATTCTTCACACCAGCATCCAATTTAGATTGATAGCAATATGTTTTATGTGTGTATGCACTAATTTAGATTAATTTTGTCCAGTTAAATCATGAAAAATGTGAATTTTCATAAACCATTTATATAAAAATCAATAATTATGAATATACAATATTCAGAAAATAGTATCAATTCTTCAAAGTTCATAAAGATTTTGTGAAATGTCATGCGCACAATGTCATGCGCACAATATGATACAAATCATATAACCTGGCAAATGACATGGGGAAATCAATAGGGATACTGATTTTCCGTTTCAAAAAAGGCTTTTAAGGCTACTACTACTATTATATACCTCATACATAGATTGCCATTCACTGATTGGTCAAAACTATATCACATGTCAAGGAGCATTTCGATCTATCAAGTATCATTACGTCAGAGGGTTTGATAGCTACTATCAAACCCCGGGATAGGACCCCTAACCCCTCCAGCGACTTAGTTGCGCACACAAATTGTTTGAGTTGCTAGGCTACCGCAATCGCGCGTAGGAATTTAATACTCTTGCCTTGGACTTGATGTTGGATTTTTCTTATTCTGGTGAGTACAGTAATTCCTCTTGATCTAGTTTCCTGTTTTTTAGTGCTAGATCTAGACCTACAGCTAGACCTAAGGCCTAAAAAAAAATTGATGACTTGGCGTAACCTGCCCGACCCTATTTTTATCGCCGACCCTACGCTTTTTTTTTTTTTTTTTTTTTTAAATTTTTTTTTTTTAATTTTTTTTTTTAATTTTTTTTTTTTTTTTTTTTTTTTTGGATTAAGGATTCTGAAATACTGGAGACATTTTTTAACTGTTTGTTATTACAGAGCCATTCACAATTGTAAATATTTTCACAAGTTGTAATTGGCTACTCTTTTCAACCCTCATTCTTCAAGATTTTGGATACATGTTAACATGTTAACATGTTAACCTCTAGACAAGTTATAAAAATGCTAGTCAATACATTGTAAAAATACTAATATTTGTGAACAGCCCCTTCTAAACCTACATATTCACCTGTTTATCCTGTTGAAGACAGTGTCTGAGATATCTCAGACTGGGGTCTGTTGGAAACCTATTAATGCGTTCGTATGTTTGCATTTTATGTGCATGAGGGTGTATGTACATGTACATGTATGTATGCAGGGGGGGGGGGGGCCCAGGTGTATGTATGCATCCCCCAGGTCCCAAGGTGATCAAGATTTCAACAATTTCTTGCTCACTTTGCTCCCACAGTGTGTGTGTCCATATATGTGTGTGTGTGTGCGTGGAGTTATTTGAACATATTGTGGTCTACCCCTCTCATCAGATCATCCCCAAGGTCTGAGGACCTATCTACGCCACTGTATGTATGTATGTGTATGAATGGCTAATTTCATGTATGCAAATATAAGCAACAACAAAAAAAAAAAAAAAAAAAAAAAAAAAAAAAAAAAAAAAAAAATCGCCCTACCTACCCTAATTTTCAGTGACCCGTTACGCCAAGTTATCAATTTTTTTTTTTAGGCCTAATCATGAATCAATAAAAAGGATGAGGTATATAAAACAAATATGGACTGCTCTGTAATCGGATGATGGTGGGAACTACCACTCCCTCGGTGGTGTTCACACCGGCCCTTCTATCACCCCCTTGGCTTCGCCTCGGGGGTGATAGAAGGACCGGTGTGAACACCACCTTGGGAGTGATAGTTCCCACCATCATCCTCATGAGCAGTCAATATTTGTATACTACATATATATTGTATGTAGGTCAAAGTTCATAGCCATTAAATATGCAAATCTGGTTTCCATTCGATAACTTGAGTAAAAATTGATGGATTTTAATGAAACTTGATATGAAGGTACATGGTATCAAAACACAGCTTAAGTTCGATATTGGAATATGTAGGTCAAAGGTCATAGCTCATTAAATATGCAAATCTGGTTTCCGATCCATAACTTTAGTAATGTTTGACGGATTTTAATGAAATTTGATATAAAGGTTCATGGTATCAAAACACAGCCTAAGTTCGATTTCGGAATATGTACCGGTAGGTCAAAGGTCATAGCTCATTAAATATGCGAATCTGGTTTCCATTCGATAACTTGAGTAATGTTTGACAAATTTTAATGAAATTTGATATAAAGGTACATGGTATAAAAGTACATGTACAGCCAAAGTTCGATTTCTGAGTATGTACTGTAGATCAAAGGTGAAAGGTCATAGCTCATTAAATATGCAAAAACACCTAATTATGTATGTGAAAATGATGTGGTAAACTTCCTTGCCTAGTAATATAATAGTATGGCCAATGGAGGTACATGTAACTTGTTCTGACGAATATAGGCCATTTGTACCCTGCGAAGGGATGCTACGCTTTGCGTTGACTTGTTAAATATTAGATTTAGAAATTCCCTTGCCAAAAGATTTCCACCAAGTGAAATACAAATGGTTTCATAATTATAGCATGCACACTCACCTCATCAGTCATTTTCTTGACACTGAGCATGGTTTCAAACTCCGTCAAGATCAGAAATGCCATTCTCTTGCAATGATCCTGGCTATGACCTACCAGGTCTAACACAAAGGAATGCTGAACTCTGCGATCCATGGAAGACAGAGCTTCATGGAACATCTGGCATAATTCCTTCTTCTTCTGGTCCTTCCACAGGTTTTCAAAAGGCTTAATCCACACTTCCATCATGTCAACAGGTTTCTCCCGCTGATGTTTTGAAGAAGCATCAGTTTCAACTCCTCCACCACTTCTGGTACTTGTTGGATTGTTCATTTTTCCTGCTTTCCAAAAGTACTTTGTTGCAGGATATGTTCAGGTCACTTTAATAAATGTTGATTTTCTCCCACGGATGAGAGCCCTATGAATCCTACAGACCGAGTTCAAATTCTTTGGTAAATGATCTCCCTGAATCTTTTTTGTTTACTCTGCTTCGCCTTCAGTCTACCAGCTGCAAAAAAATAAGTAAAACATAGAGAAGGAAAAGGTCATAATTACCAGTACGAAGCTTAAAGGTAATACAAAGTTTTGGTATGGAGTCATATGAATTTGGTTCAAAACTTAATATCAACATATTGGAAGCAAATATTATATGCGATCCTACAATTTTCAATGATCATTGTCGTACGGTTGAATTTGAGTCTAAATGATGAAATTGTGAATTATAAACTCTTTATGTTGTATACTTTTATTTTTCCTATTGTGGCGTAAATGGGCTCTGCCGGGGTAGCGTTCTGCCTTGTGCAGACTCTCAAAACCCAGTCCACGCTCTTGACAATCAGTCATTATGATCTCTCAGTGGGCTCTCACAAAAGCATATCGACATGTGTAAGAAAAACGTGGACTAGCTCTCATTTCACTCACTCCCGCAACCACTTACTGTTTGACAGGAACTCAAGAAACAACTCTTGCACAGTATCTGCAGTTCAAGTAACTTTATCTTGTTCCTTGTAACGTACCTGTCGCAACGACAGCTCAACGCTAACTCACCAACATCTTACGATGTCCATATATATATTGTACAATTAACTATAACGCCCTCTATGTCTTACTAATTTACTGGATAGTTATGCTACACTATTCAAGATTGATATTACTTTTGCTTCAAAACAATGCAATTTGACTAAAATTGATTTTCTATTCCCGTTTGGAAATTATATACATGTATATATATATATATAGCACATACTGCATATTCCAAGATGTTCATAGTCGCAGCTACCATTGTATGGCCATAGGCGCTATTTGAAATTTATCAAGAGCACCAATATTTTTAATATTTTACTTTAACGAAGGGGGTAGTGAGCACTTCAAAATAATTGTTTAATCAACCCCCATACTCATATGCTGCAATGATACTTATAAACCTTTAGGTCAGTCAGGAAGTCAGGAACCCATGACTTTTAAAAGCCGATGGCCTGTCTGATTATCAAGATATTTATGATTGGAAAATCAAAACCAAATTTCGTGTTTGCCTAACGGTTTTCATAACACTATAGCATATGGGGGAAAATGAGTATGGTAAAACCAGTCACTCAAAGATTTTTACTTTTTTGATGCACTTCTTGATCATTTAGAAGCACAATATTTTTAGGGCTTCAATATCACAGACACTGATGACTCTTAACACGTAGGTCATTTTCCAATTTCCAGGACAAAAAAAAATTCAGCGGCTGGCTGAGTCGTTTTTTCCCTCAAAAACAGATGCCCCCCCCCCCCCCCGAGAAAAAAGTAAAGATGGTTTGTATTTTTAACCAAAAGAACATAATAATAAAAACCTGAATTAAATCACATATATAAAATTCAATTCAAAGAAAAGGAAAGTTAACATGAATTAAATTTCCTAAACATTGCGCATGCCACCTATATTTATCAATGGAGGTTTTTTTTATAATGATACGAGTATATCATGGACATATTGTGAGAGAATGGGAAAGCGTGTCTGTTTTTTGTTATAGGGGTGAAAAGACATGAGCCCCTGAATGCTGGCATACTGATAGGGGGGGGGGGGGGGGGGTATTTCTTATTCGATACCAGTGATTTACAAATGTTGCTGAAATGACATGATTTTCCAGTATTTTTTCTCAATTTTGTTGTACGTCATACCTTTTTATGTGTTTGTTGGAAAATTAGAAATTCCCAAATTTATAGTTGGGCGAAAAATATGCTTATTTAGAAGCCTTTATGTCAAGGTCTGCAGAACCGGCCCGGCTAGAGGGGGGGGGGGGGGGGGGGGGGGGGGGGGGGGGGGGGGGGGGGTCGAGCCCCCCTCACTTTTTGAAAAAGATTGTTACAGAGAAAGAAAGAGAAAAAATAAGTGACCTGCCAATGTCACAAATGAAGTATCAAAATATACTCATCTGACCATAATTAAATGCCTAAAACTAGTGCTGTAAGTCAGACGCTATGTTCGTGTTTGGTTCGGTTCGATTCGGTTCGGCAATTTTTCAGCCGAACTTGGTTCAGTAATATAATAGCAAGCAGCGTTATAGCCACGGCGGTCGGCACTGGGCGGGTCGGCCGGCGTGCCCTGCCCGACCAGCACGGAGGACATCTGTACACTGCTCCCGACCAGCACAAATTTCACACTAAAAAACTGCTCTAAACGTAATTATTTGTGAAGAAATATACTACCGTACTTACATTTGTATTTCCGTCTTGAATCATGTTTTATTTTCAATTTTAAAAGATATTCTTTAAAGATTTTCCGAGACGGTTGTTGCCTAATGTTAGAGTCATGAAAGCTGCCATCTTGAATAGAGATTCAGGCTCGTCAATAATTGTTTTTTATAATTTTTTATTTTCAATAGGAAAAATATAAAATCCCTATTTTTCCTGAATAAATAAATACCATACTATAATATATATTAATTTAATTATTTATATTGTAAAATTTGTCCGATATTGTTACAATTAAAATATTTTTTCTGTTGAATGGGTTTGAGCTGAAGTTGTTTTGATCACGCACATGTATTCTTGTTTATGGCTTGCGATCGCGACGTAGCGTGGTCAGGATTCGGGATTAAAATGGCGCCAGTGAAGTCGCGCCTACCACTGGATAGGCATAAATCACAAAGGCGGAAAATGGGAAAAAAGTATATATAAAATGAGCAATCATGACATAAAAATTAGGTACAAAATGACAAGTTTAATAGCTTGCAAAAACGTTAAAAATTTTTCTGCCGAACATCCGAATCAGGCCTTTGCGTTCGGTTCGGTTCAGTATGGTTCGGAAGTGCCATGTTCGGCGAACTTCCGTTCGGTTCGGCGGTTCGGCTACAGCACTACCTAAAACCCCAGGGCTTATGGGGGCTCTGCCCCTGGACCCCACCAAGAGCCCTAAGGCAGTCTCCTGGATGCTCATCTGACCGTAATTAAATACCTAAACCCCTGAGCTTCTGGGGGCTCTGCTACCTGTACTCTCCGCCAATTAGTGGCCTGCCAGTGTCACAAATAAGGTATCTACATATGCTTATCTGACCGTAATTTAATGCCTAAAGTAGGCCTGAGTCATATCGGGATTTTCATAAACCGGGTCCCGACGGCCTTGTACCGATCGGGACCCGGTGTCCCGAAATCAGCTCGCAGGATTTGCCACTTGCCTCTATAAAAAGCGCATATCATCAGTATGTCCCTTAAAAGTGACCTTTTTTATCAATTAAATAAATCAACACATGCATACCTCTGCTCAGATCGGTATATTCTTCCATTTGACATTATTTTTTATCCATGATTGGCGATGTTTAGTGCCATTTTCGTGCCTCTAAAAATTAAAAAAACTGGAGCAGAAATAGAAAGACAGCATTCGAGCCGCCATTTTGATTTATGCAGGTTGAATAAATCTGCTCAAAAAATATGAATGTTAGAATAATAAAACGGCTTTCTAAAAATTTCTTCTGTACAATATACCGATCATATTATTTTAAAGACAAAATAAATATTTATCTCTTATTTTAAACATCGCATGCTTTGTTTAAAAGCTGAAAATTACTTGGTAATCAAGAGTTTCGATACGGATAGCTGTTGCAAGGCAAGTTCAGACTAGTATCGGAAAAATGCGCAGTGCTCCTCGTAATTAGCTGTAATGCGTGCCAGAACGAACCCAAACAAAGACGTGATCGTAACGAGAAAAAAAAAATCATTAAAAACTACGAGAGCACAATTGGAAAGACAACTACTGCTCAAAATTACCATAATCAGATAGATAACTTGGACAATGAATTCAATAATCGCCCAAGAAATGCCTCAGAAATTGTGATAATCGAGGAGTAACTGGGTACATTTTTATCGCAAGGGGCCTGCTGCAAATACTCTAATCCTTTGTTATACTGCTTTTTACCGTAGAGGGCGTTATTTGCCTCATATAGCCTCGTGTTCAATTTAAACACGTGTAATTCGGATATTGCAGCAGGCCCTTCCGATAATGATTGCACCTATAGTAACTCCTTAAATATCACTATTTATGTGGCTTTCCTTGGACAACTATTGTTTTCTTCCTCCAAGTTATGTATCTGCTTACGATAATTTTGAGTAGTTGTCTTTCCAATTGTGCTCTCGTAGTTTTTAGTGATTTTTTTCTCGTTACGATCACGTCTTTGTTTGGGTTCGTTCTGGCACGCATTACAGCTAACGAGAAGCACTGCGCATTTTTCCGAGACTAGTCTGAACTTGCCTTGCAACAGCTATCCGTATCGAAACTTCTTGTGATTACCAAGTAATTTTCAGCTTTTAAAAGAAGCATGCGGTGTTCAAAATCAAAGAAAAAATATCTATTTTGTCTTTTAAAAATGATTCGATCGGTATGTTGTAAAGAAGTACTTTTTAGAAAGCCGTTTTATTATTCAAACATTAATGTTTCTTTCAACCTGATTTATTAATCCTGCCGAGAGACCCGGCCAGTACAGTAGCTAGCTAGCAGCTGGCAACAACAACCCCATGGGGCGAACTGCCTTGGAACCCATATATTTATATCAGCAGTTCGGATTGATTCAGGATGAGCTAGAATATGATTGGTAACAATTAAATACTTAAGTTTTAAGGTGGATTGATTTTAGTGGTGTGCAAATCTGCAATTTCTTACATATTTCGTTATTTTTTTCGGAGCGTCGGTTCTGAAAAAACGAAACCGGGACCCGACGGCAACGGTCGGGTCCCGGTGTGATCGACCGTACCGACTCAAGCCTAGCCTAAAGACCATGAGCTTCTAGGTGCTCAGGCCCTGGACCCCACGCCAATTAACGCTCTACCTGATCGTTAATACTAAACTTTGAGAAACGTTCAGCGGGGCCTGCAGGTAACGTGTAAGAGTGGTGGTGATGCATATTTTTCTTCTGCCCCCCCCCTTCCAAATGTTTATGCTCATTACGTCACTGCCCCTGGAAGGTGAGCCCCCTGGAATGTTTGCCCCCCCCCCCCAATCCCAAACTGCTTCCGGCGCGCCTGATGGGACTA